AGTGATCTTGGATCCACCATTAACATAATTTATCCGGCTCATTAATAGGTTTCTCTGGGTTTCTCCATCAAAAATAGACACAGACCTCAAGGATCGGCCAGTCTATTTCATCACATCCATATAATAGTATGATTGTTATTTTCATATGATTTTAGTATCGGATGATTTTTATCAAGTCAATAGTTTAAGTCACCTGAAAAATGAAGTTGAGATTTTGGTGTTGTCCGCTAGGTTATGATATCCCGTGAGAGAATCCTACTGAATTTTTAAAGATATCTTTTAGGTTTTACCTCTTATTTGCGGTTTTTTGTTTACCCTAGAATAAATTTATATACTAGATGCCTTTTGTAGGATGTCTTGTACGTACCTTAAGAGTTTATAGTTTATAGAAGTTAATAAGACACAACAAATGGATCCACATGGTGTAGTCTTTATGTGTATCAGTGTGTGTATTTATGTATATACAGCTTTCAGTCCCTTCGGGGACATCCGATAAAATATATATACAGCTTTCAATAATTACGATAAACATAGGAAATATAACGACAAAATAGAGTTTTGTCTATACCTCAATTATTGCGGGAGTCTCTGAAATAAATCCAAAATTCTCCGAAACATCAACATATGAGTTTTATTCAAAGTTCACTGTGTCTTCAGTTTTATGTTCATCATTGATGGACCTCTTACTCTCATCAATTGTTCCTATTTTCAAGTATTACATAGTATAATATGTAACATTTTCTAAAACATAATATTATATAAAACGCACTCAGTGTAACATGACATATATTGTGATTATAACTCATAAAATTTTGATATATATCAGAATTAATTAAAATTTCAACATGCAACAAAAGTTTAAGATTTTGATATATACCATCTTTTCACAAAAGTGCCCTTTAAAATAAAAAGTTATTTCTTAGATCCATCATTTTTTTATTCGAAGTCATTCAGCAATTTGTTTTCTGTTTTTTTTTTTCGTTTCAGACATATCATATCGTGTTTCTCTTCTCATTTTTAACTTTAGTATTGGAGCGTCCTTGGTGAATACATTTTTTTCGTATTTCCTAGAATTCCATGCGTTTGTTGATTTTGCATTAATTAAACTTGCCTCCAAAGGAATGAAAAAATATCCAAAACATCACTTATACTAAAATTTATCTAAAATGAACCATGTCAAATGATTTATAATTTTTCACATATACGGATATATCACCATTACCATATATTTTTTCAGTATTTATGATACAAATATCACTAGCACTCATAGAGTGCGACGTCGTTCTCTCATATCAAAAATGTTGCCCCAACATTGTAAGCTAAAGCACTCCAAACTCATTTACAACGGTATATACTTTTTATATACAGTTGCAAATCACCATGCAAATACAAAGATAATTAGAAAATATGTCAAAGTATTAGTTGACCTTGCAAATCATCATGCATGGTTGTCATTAAAAAAAAAATTAACTTACAGGATACTAAAATTTACTTCTCCATAAATATCATAAATGTATTCAAATTGGTTTGACGTGTTTAACCGTAAAGTCTCTTGAAAAAAAAACAGGTTTACGTTGGTGTTTTAAACAATCCAAACAATTATTTTGAACTTGTCCACATACACCTTTTATTTTTATAAGCCACAATATTACAGAAAATATGTATACAGTATACTTACAGAAAATAAGATGGTAAATGAACCGCCACTCTAATGTAAAACTTGGCATTTGGAATTGATTTTTTTTTTGTTTTGATGAAAATTCGGAATTGATTTTGCATATATATATATATATATTGTTAAAGTATGTGAAGAAGATTATCTACAGTTAATCATGATTCATGTCGAGCACGTAAAGAGTGATAACTTATAGGAATTTTTTTTTCAGTACACATATCTAAGAAAGAAAAAAGGTGATAAATTATAAATTTTAAGACCGTTGAAAATTGAGTTTCAAATATATGGTCTTTTATTGGTTTACAAGAGAATATCCACAGCATTAGGTTCGCCAGCAAATCTGTAAAACTGGGAGAATCAAGCTGAGTTTAATAGAGTCAACGGAGTACGTTTACAACATAAAAATAAAAATCGTACTGTAATCAAACTGTAACTGTATACAAATGACCAGTAGAAACGAATCGGGTAGCAACTTAAACTGATTTGTCACCACATTTGATTATTATTTTTTAACAGATTGCTACTAATTTCAGAGAAATTTACTAGTAGAGTTTCTTCGTACTATAAAAAGTGTAGTTTTTTTAAGGAAACTAAAATTTAGAAGTTTCGTTTGTTTGAAGACAGCCGCGATCAGGTTTGGCTGAAGCGGCGGTCAAGTCTAGCAATGGTGATCAGGCACAGCAATGGCTGGCATGTTAGATAGGTTAATAGCTCGATTCAAACTTGTTGATTTCTTCCAAATTTTTATCTAACTTCCGATGTGGATAACGAAAAATAATAATTCTGCTACGGAGTACCTGGAGCAGTCGGTCACAAATTATTATTTCATATAATTAATTTTCATGTACATAATTCATTACTTTAAATTTGATGTCCCATATTTGTAGTAAATTAATGAGAAGCAAATTCTTTAATGAAATGGGAAAAAAATGAATAATGTTTCCTAAAGTTTTCAATATTGAATTTTCGCAAATCAATTTATGATTTGTTTTTTTCCATTTTTCCTTAACTGAAAACTCTTACAAATTTTTTACCAATGTTTACCAGTCATTCCGCCCTATTAATTTTGATACAACAAAATTTTGTCGCGAATTTTTGGTGAAAATGCAAATATACATGTAATAGTTACTTAATTCACAAACAACTATCAGTTTTGTAAATGCTCAAAAAAAAAGTATCAATTTTGTCACAATGATTGACTACCACATTTGTTTTCGAAACACCAATAAACAGCTAGCGATATATTTTTCATTATCAGAACACTATATTTTCACGTTCTCAAAAGGAAAAAACAAAAAAATCTCTTTCCACTAGCTCCCAAATTAAATAATAATTACTGTTACAGATACCGAGTAACATATATGATATCACAAAAAGGTATCACTCCCAGTCCCAGACTCCCATCTCAGCGCAATCGCAATGTCTGCATTTGCTTTTCTCTCAATCTTAGTGTATATTTTTCTTGAACCGTGCTATTATTATTCGAAACGACATTCAAAGAAAGATATACTACAAAAGAACTGCTCAAATCTCATCGTCAAAGGCTGCAAAAAATTGGCGATAATATTTTAAGATATCATAAGATGAATATTTAAATTAATATTGATTTGTAAACTAATTTTTGTGGCGATTTATAGTTGTGCGAGTTGTGTGGAATAAATTACGACCGTGAAATAGAGAGATACATTAAAAGCAGATGTGAAAACGCATGGATCCAAAGACAACATATATAGTGAATCCTGAAAAAAATTTATATGATTTTTTTTGGGTATCATAGCAGAATCTGAACCAGCGATTTGGATAGTGGTCGGAGTACGTACCAGTTGAACTAATATATTATATGTTAATGTTCTGTATGTTATCGGGCATATTATATATAGTTGACCTGGTAATTATAGATTGATATTTTGGTACGCATACATTCTTACATATTGGGAGTATACGGTCTCTAACGTTTTAAATAATTTGGCCTCTCGTCACATATATATATAATATATCATATATATGCCACATTAGCATTAATTTAGGCTTAGAGTAACTGTGCACGAAAGAATGTCAACAAATTAATCAAAATGATTCAGTGCATATAGTCTAATCTAATAATATATTAATCATAATTAAGGAAAAACTAATTCAGTATTGAATCAGCCATCCCACGGAGTTTAAAAGAAAGTTAGTTATAGGAAACACATATATAAAGTAATTTAAAGTAATGTTAAATTCTTGTTAAAAATAATTTCCAATAACTAATTTTCCTTGTAGTAAGAGTTATACATGTGTACTCTTGCATGCTCGTTTACAACTTTACATCATGCTTTGCCAACCCCCTTTCCTTTGAATTTCTTATAAAATCAGAAAGAAATCAAATGTTTGACATATTAATTAGGTCCAGATGGCTAGAGGATCATAATGACCACTTAAAGTATAATATTATACTTCCCCCTAAATCTATGGCCAGGAATAATTGATTAATTAACATAATATACTTATATAAGCCTTGGCTAATAGTTGACAAAAAAAGCCTTGGCTATTACTAATTGTTGGCAGCAAAAATATCGCACCGTTATCACCACAAATAAAGTATATTAACTTTCTTATGACTTTCCTAGTAACTTTTTATGTTTGAAATAAAATTTATGAGCTGAAATTCATACTAGTCTTGAAATATGGTATCACAAATTAAACATTTAGACTAGTCTCTGTAAAAAATTTATCGAATGTATACAAAGTTTCTTATGGCTATATATAGTTTTACTTAGGAATAAATTCCTAAAATGAAACTCTTGTTAGATTTCTTATTGATTTCGAGATATGAGGCTATAAATGAAAATTACAGACTAATCTAATCTCTTTTTGGGTCAACGTACAGACTAATCTAGACTAATGATATACATTCGGAATTTAACCGAATAATTACACACAAATAATTATTATCTAAATGAAAACGGTTATTAGAACAAGAAGAAAAGAAGGAAAAAGTTTGGTTCATTTTCCCTAAGTGGATAACAATGAAACCAAAAGAGAATATTGGATGATAGTGTCCCATGAGACACCTCACAACTAAGATTTCTTGTAACTTTGGTTTTTCTTGAAACTTCCCACCATAACTAACTACATATATTACACAAGCATGGACCCAATTAATCTTACAATATTGTAAGAAACTCTAACTTGTCATCTTCCATCCTTAACTACATGCATGTTATAATTATTCTAGTTTACATACATCATATAAGCTAATTCCCCCCCAAGTATAAATATATACATAATTAAACCTATATATGTACCTAGACACACCCCTCTCCCTCCCTCTCCCTCTCCCTCTTCCTCTCCCTCTTCCTCTCCCTCTTCCTCCTTACCTATTAAACTTTTCTTTGAACCTTTACATGCCCTATATATTGGTAGTATTCTCCTAAGTGAAAGGTTTTTACATTTAAATACACATATTAAGGTACAGATTTATATATTCACATCATGGGTTTGAAAGATATTGGGTCCAAATTACCACCGGGGTTTCGGTTTCATCCAAGCGATGAAGAGTTGGTTTGCCATTATCTTTGCAACAAGATAAGGGCCAAATCTGACCAAGGTGATGTTGAGGATGATGACGTTAATGAAGCCTTGAATGGTGGTACTGATCTTGTGGAGATTGACTTGCATATTTGTGAGCCATGGCAGCTTCCTGGTAATATACTGATCTAATTTTTAATTATATATGTTGATTGCTAATTATTAGGTGTTTATGAGTTTGTTTGTGTAAATATATGTATATGTACGTATATATATGTATATAAATGCTCTTTCCACTCATGGGTTTTGGTGGTGGGTTTCAAATTGTTTTCGTAAAGATTCTTGAAACTTTCCTTTAAGAAAGATTCTTGAAATTAATTGAACACAAAGAAGAAAACAGATTCTTGAAATCAGATTTTATTCTTGGCACCGGTTAATTAATATATTATACAAGTATATGATGTTTACTTATGTGTAATAGTCAGATTTTACTGTACACGATTAGACACATAGATACATATATGTGTGATTATATCAACTGAAACAGATGATATGTTCACATAAATTATAATTTGATCCTAATTATAACAGCCCTAATAATAGTTTAAAACATTATCCGGAGTGTCATAATTAGTTGAGACACATGCTAGTTTTTTTAAATAAAATGTGTTATAAAATCTGAAGCCTATACAAAAGCAGCGAAGTATACAAAATCACAGCTGTCGTTATAGAGTTCTCGTAAATCAAATTATAAGTTTTAATAAATAACTATATATATTGATATATTTCTCTCTCTCTATGTGTATATATAGGTGCTTACATCATATATGCAATATATATATATATATATGTGTGTGTGTATGTGTGTGCGTTTGTATGCTTGTAATGAATTTTCATTTGTTTGGGGGTTCTCTTTTGATACCTTGAGAAATTAAGGAAGCTTTTTCAAAAGGGGACCGAGAATCCTGTTGTCAAAATTTTTTCCCATTAACTTAAAATTGTCTTCGTAGTTTTGACTTTTAGGGACTTTGATAAAAAAAGATAACTTGTAGATTATAAAATTCAAAGTTAGTTAATTTGTTGCATTAAAGAACATTAATTAAAATGTAATATTTAAAGATCGATTAAACAAAAAAAAAGTAGGCTTTGTGTGTAAACACGATGACCTTTTTTTGCCCCATATCACAAGCAACTTTAGAGACTCAAGTAACCTTTATTACTTTCATGACCAGCACGATCTTGTTGTAACTAGTCGAATATATGTATAAATCTTAGTTAAATAGGCGACGTATATACTATTTAGGATATGGTTGATGATAATTATCTTAGGAAAAAGAAATTGTGGTCTCTTACTCCTCTTCTCAATTAAGGCAAAATAAAGGAATCTTTTTCTTAAGTAGTCATACATCTTCTTGATCATCTTCTATAAGGATCATATTAATGCGAAACCGATAGGAGGAATGTTTGTGAGAGCAATAATTTCCTCTGTTGAAGTCAAGATCGTAATTATGTTTTGCCAAAACTGAATACAATGTCTCCCATCCTCCGTCTTGTCTACATCATCACAAGTCTTATATCATCACATAAACCTTTGACACATCACTGTTTGTAAACCGAGAGACTATAAATCCAATTCAAAAAATATTAATTCACAGTGATCCAATAATTAAAATATGCACTACCACGAGATTGAGAGAACAAAGTTTGAATTTTTTTACTATGTTTTTTGTGCTTCCGTTCACTTGCACGATTTTTTAGTTATTAAAAAAAAACAGATTCAAATTACACTTGACATATTTTGAATGTTTCTTATTAATACTTCTTTCATTTTTATCAATTTAAATGTTAAATATATATATAGACTTATTAAGCATTTGTTAAGAAATTAAAAAAGTTATAGATATAAAATATAAATGATAACCTGACAATCATTCTGTGTCTTACTTTAAGTTTTTACACAATATAATAATGTCTAGGATACGATTTTATCTTTAAATATTTGTCGATATATCTCAAATACCCCTTCATAACAATTTACTAATGATCTAAAAACCATTGTATGTTCTGTAATTAAAGATGTGGCAAAGCTGAACGCAAAAGAATGGTACTTCTTCAGTTTCCGCGATAGAAAATATGCGACTGGATATCGCACAAATAGAGCGACAATAAGCGGATACTGGAAAGCAACAGGTAAAGATCGGACGGTGATGGATCCACGTACAAGCCAGTTGGTAGGGATGAGAAAAACACTGGTCTTCTACAGGAACAGAGCACCAAATGGGATCAAAACTACTTGGATCATGCACGAGTTCCGTCTTGAGTGTCCTAACATGCCACCTAAGGTACTTGATTATTCTCCAACAATAATTATTTATCTCTTTCATACTACTAACCATTATTAGTAATGATCATTTCACAATAATTACGTCTTTTCAAGCATAACTCGTAACGTACCTAAAACTCGCGACATGTGTCTATTCGTGGATGTCCCATGCATAGATATAGATACCAAATTAATTGTACCAGCGTAATATTTATTTTTTTATTATGCCAAAACTAATTCGAAAAAAAGGAGGTACTAGTGTTTTTTTTTTCTATTTGAGTGGAACATCATGATAAGTTAACCCAATTTTTCTTTTTTTACTGTCTTAAAATAATCATAAATCGTCAAAATTGTCATGAATCCATTAATCCAATATTATATTGATATTTATTTTTTTGAACAATATTATATTGATATTTATGCACCTCAAGAACATTGCTATGATCTATGAGATCCGGTCATTATAAGATTTATATACATAGATCCTGTGAGAAGTCATATATTTTCAAGTCAAAATTAATTGATTGATAAGTGGAATAATTCAGATCTTTTTAAAGTGTTTTTGTGTTAGTCTCTTCTCATTATTGGTATGAACTTATCTATATGTGCATTAGTGCATATGTCTCATTGTTAAATTAATTTAGGAGTCATATATGCAAGCATTATTATATGTATATGTACGTATATCCGTATATGTGTATGCATGGGTTGTGCATGGCATGGGACGCATGATGAGATGGCAGTAAGTACAAACAATGACGAATTTGTGCAAATAAAACAAAAAACAAAAATAAAAATGGAAGAAAGAGACAAAAGTGGCTTTAATGCGTGTTTGGTCATTTGCATGCACGAGACCGCACGTAATGTAAACATCCCATGCATTTTTATAAACATACGTTAATATGTTTTTTTTTCTAAACTATGTCCTCTCGTTTTCTGTCGCTATGTGGACACAGGAAGACTGGGTCTTGTGCAGAGTGTTCAACAAAGGTAGAGACTCATCACTACAAGATAATAACAATAACATTGATCATCAGGTGCAAAGGGTTGAAATTAATGACCCTCCAGATCTTAATTGCGCTCCTAATTACAACAATTACTTGCAACCTTTACTATCATCCCCTCCTTCCACCACCATCGACCCTCCACATGATCATCAATATGATGAGTGGGAGCAGCTAATGAAGCAGCCTTCAAGGACCACGGACCATCCCTATCACCACCATTGTCAACATCAAACCATACCACGTGGTTGGGAGCAGATGATGATTGGTTCGATGTCGTCATCGTCGAGCCATGGCCCTGATCACGAGTCATTACTAAATTTGCTTTACGCCGACAACAACAACAGTACTGTCACCATCACTGATAATCAGAATTATGAGAAGATATTGTTGTCATCGGAAATCACGAGTTTGGATCATGATAAGACATGTATGGGATCATCATCCGATGGTGGTATGGTCTCTGATCTTCACATGGAATGTGGTGGCTTGAGTTTTGAGACCGAGAACCTCCTTGCTTTCCATTGAAAACGCACTACACAAAGGTTTTTACACACATTCGCCGATTTGTTGATTCGAGAAATATACATATATAGTATCTGTAGATTTATCAAATATTATACATGTAAGTTGTGTGTGGCTTCTGGGTATAGGGTTTGTGATTCTAGGTTTTTTAGGAGATTGTTATAATTAGTGTTTTTTTTTATTCTTTTGAATTAATACGTGAACCCATTTATACTATAAATATTATTGTCATAATTAGTTGTTGTAAATAATTAATATTGTATGGTAGATATTCATCATATATCATCAGGCATCTTTCATTGAAAGCTCGCGCATATCATTTGTTTAAAATTTTAACGTTCTCTAACAAAGTGTCATGTAATTACAAATTAAAAAAAAAATTCTCTGTATCTAGGTCTTTTTTGTTTAACGCTCTCTCTGTATCTAGGTCATGTGTAAAATTTTATTTACGGAATTAAATAAAAAATTCTAAGAAAACAGAATTTTTTTTACAAAGATAGCGAGGAAGGAGGAATAATCGAATAACTAGCTGGAAAAACGACAAATTGGAAAGGCCCAAAAACTAGTTGGCGATTGGGCCTTAAATAACTTTAATTTAATAAACTCATATATATATTCGTGGGTTGTAGTGGCTTGGAGTTAAGAAGTTAGCAGAATCTCTGATCTTCACATGGAATGTGGTGGCCTGAGTATTGAGACCGACAACCTCCTTTGCTTACCATTGAAAATATACTATAAAAGGGTTTTACATATAATTTGCAGATTTGTGAAATATATAAATTGTGATAAAAAAAAAACTTATGCATCTATATCATATTATCACGAAATTACAAAGATGCGAGGAATAACGAGACTGAAAAGAAGATTTGCAGTTCCAAAAGCACCAATCCTAATGAACCGTTTATGATGGCAGATTTTGCGATCGATTTGGTCTCAATTTTAAAAATTTCGTATCTAATTTATTATAAAAGTAGATTTTTTTCTTCTTCTTAATTTAGGTTTTATATACAGTGAAATGCAACTGAAATGTTTTCGAGTCAAAGCAACGCATCAAAGCAGGGTAATCCACCGTATTTTACACATTTTTCAGAGGGTAAAAATTGCAGATTTTTGGTGGCTCAGTCCAAAAATCTTCATGGAAGAGCAGTTTGTGTCCGACCCGTAGATTTTTGGTCCGAATTAACATCTCTAGCGACACGAACTCTAGCGGCCGGTCCAGTAAGTCTAAAGTTGACCACGCAACACCATCAAGCTCATAAAGAACATGAGTAGAAACAACAAAAGTCATCAACAGATCAGAATGTAACTCGATACTCCCCTTAATTTTATTTATGAGAAGAAAGGGTTACATACAAGTGACGTGCCGGTGTGTTCATCAGACACATATTTTACACATACGTTAAAAGCTTAAGAGTGGACATGATTGCAAACTGACCATTACAATAGTAACCTTGTTCACTACTTTATTAGTAAAAAGAAAAACGTTTTTAACTTAAGCCTCGACTATCTCTTCGATCAACTGTGGTTGTCCACCGCGTGCACGAGTCAAAGTGGTCTCAAGCGTGTTGAACTTGATCTTTTTAGCTTCCTCGAGAGGGATCTGGAATCCATTGGTTATGACCTGTAGCGGCAATGCCCTTAGGGCAGAGGTTCGACCCGCCAAAGTGCTGATCATCGCGTTAGCATTTGTCTTGAATGAGATCCATTCAAAGTTGTTTTCGTGGGATTGGACTACGTATGCGAACCCTTGTGGAATAACCACGAGCTGTCCCTTCTGCACCTGCTGGTCCAACACGTTCTGTCCGTTGTCGTTCACCACTTGGATCTTTCCTTGTCCTGCCGTGCAGTACAAGATCTCATTCGCGTTCATGTTGTATTTCGGAAGCACCATAGCATTCTGCAACAGTATTCGTTAGCAACAAAGACCTAGCCTCCGAGTTTTAAAATGCTTTTTCTCTAGAAAATTTTAAATGATTTTGTATAAAGTTCTAAGAACTGGGACATATATATCTGTATGTATATTAAATGTACTTACACGCTGGATAATGCCACGAGTGGCGCTGAGCCTGAGATACTGCAAGATGGGCAAGGTCAAGCTGTTGACGTTGGTCATACGGCCGAGGTTAGGCTTGTACACGTCAGCGCGGGCAGGGTCATCAATGTTCTCGTGGGTCCTCATGCTGCAGATAGTCTCCTCAAGACCGTTGTCTTGTGGGCCACGTGGGTGTCTCCACTTCTCGCTCTCGTAGGCCTGTCTCAAAGGTGGCCTCACGACCTGGAAAGGTCCCTTAACAGAAACGATGTTTCCTCTGTTGTCTCTTCGGTTCTGAAGCTCCTCAGCCAACCTAACGTCGATTTTCAAAGCCTGAGCTATGACCTGAGGGTCGAATCCGCTGAACATGTTTTTCTCTTCTTCTCCTTGTTGTTGTCCTTGCTGTCGACCACCAAAACCGCCCTGTTGGCCCTGTTGGTTGTTTCCAGCCAAACGGAATGCCTATAGCACAGAATTAACAAATGAAAAACGTGTGTAGTAAGTATACTGGATATGGTTTATATTCTTAAAGTGAAGAAAAGTGTGTCTTTGAATATATGTATGATTACTCTTGGGTTGCGGTCGAGTTGGTTTTGGTAGTTGGCAACGTCGATAAGGGAGATGATGACAAGTGGCTGGTCTCCAGAGTTGTAGATCCAATGGGCAGAGCCTGGAGTGATGGCAACAATGTCTCCACGTCGAACATGTTCCACCTTCTGGTGCATGTCACGGAACCCTTGTTGTCCTTGCTGTCCCTGCCTTTCATATGGCTGTTCTTGCTGTCCTTCCTCTCCCTGTCCTTCCCATGGTCGTCCTTGCTGTCCTTGCTGTCCCTGTCGTCCCTGTCTTTCCCATGGCTGTTCTTGCTGTCCCTGTTGCTGTCCTTGCATCGGCTGTGAATCCATGAAGGTCTCGGCACATCCAGGGACGACTCTTCCACTAATACCCATTCCTATAAATATAATAGATAAGAGAGAAAGGGAGATATATGTCATGGTGTCAATCGATAAATATTATCGATTGTATCTTCATTAGAACGTGATCTATATATATAGATACTTGATAAAGAAAGGCTGTTATGTGTGTTAAGATAGATACTAACCTTGAACAACGTAGGAAATTTTTGGGGAAGTGAAGAAGGTAGGTAAGTAGAGACCGCCTTGTTCGATTACAAGACGAGAGATGGAGACACCAGCACATCGGAGCTGGCGATTTGTGTGATCCCAGTACTCCATACGACCTGCCTCGCTGTTGATAGTCTCGGTGGGTTCAAGAACGTCCAAGTTATCGAGGTTACACTCGTTCTGTAGCTGAGGAGGAACCCCAAGCGACTGCCTTGCGAGACAGCCATTAAGGACGAGGAGAACCCCGAACGTTGCAACGAGGAGATTAGCTAGCTTAGCCATTTTTCTTCCTTTTTTTTTTGTTGTTGTTGTGAGAGATGGATGAAGAGAAACGAGACTCAGTAGGAGTTTATATATTATGGACCGAACATGAAGCTTGTGCCACGTAGAATTGAGTTTGCATGAAGACGTGGGTCTATGGGTTTTACACGTCCCTCTATGAGCTCGAGCAAGTGTCTCCATGGTTGATTTTAGATGTCCACGCGCGTAGCTCTGTCTCCTCATATGCCAAAAACGACAAAACCAAATGTATCTACCTCATTCTTTAGAAACATGTCATCCATCTATGTACTTAATTTGTGTAAAATAGATAGATAGATAGAGAAACTGTGCTATACTTAAAACTTTTATCGTCGTCTTAAATTATTGAAGTTTAATTGATTCGAAACGGGAGAAGAGAATCTACTTTTTAGACAATTAACACATCAAATCACATCACTAGTGTCCAGTAATTATTTGGCGTTGTGATCAAAGAATTCACCAGATACAGCCAAAATCTAGTATTTATAAGAGTTAGTGCAGGTATAACTTTGCCTATTAGTTTACACTTCAAAAAAAAACAGAAAGAAGGTGACACCTGATAGACGCGGCGACACTAGGCGGGATTGATCCGTTTTAGCTGCTGCGACTTGTCTTGACAACTGTTCGGTTGCATGTTTAGCCGCGATGACATGTGTTCTTCCTACCAGAGTTTTAGCGGAGCTCTATACCATTTAATTTTCATGTTTTTTCTTCGTTGGGCTTTTAATGCTTGGGTTCATGGGCTTGAGCTATACGTGAGCCCAAAGTTCTTTTTTCAAACGAAAATTCCAGACCGTCTTATTCTTCAATAGAAACCAGAGCTTAAACCCTAAACCCCTTTCTCAAGATCTTCCACTCCTCTCTCCGCGACACTAGCAGAGTTTTCGGGTACGCTTCGCGCCACTTTTCTTAGGTCTTTTGTGTATTGGGTCGGTATCGATCAATTTCTATCGAAATTTCGAAAGAACAAGTAAAATACGTAGCTGTGTGAGGGGTTTTCTGCTCGAAATTTGCCAGCTAATCGTTGCTATTGTCCCAAAAATGCGAGTTTTAGTGTTTCAATAGAAGTGTTCTGGGAAGCCTAGGATGGGTCTTCCTTAAATTTGCTATCTTTTATGACTTTGTTTGCTGAATTTTGACTTGATTTTGATACTTGACATTTTTCGAGTCTTTCATTTGGATAAAGTGACTAGATCTGATTCTGAATTTTGAGGTCTTGTTTGTCTATCCTGTTCCGGAATTTTCGATAGTTGAACTTTTTTTGGGATTGTTTCAGAAAAAAAAAAAGATGAATTTCAACAACGTCAAGGTTCCAAAGGTGCCAGGTGGTGGTGCCATATCTGCGTTGCTTAAGATTGGGATTATCGGTGGGCTCGGTGTCTACGGTGCCACACACAGTCTCTACAATGTCGACGGAGGACATCGAGCCATCATGTTCAACCGTTTAGTCGGTATTAAAGATAAGGTTAGTCAGTGTTTCTTCGAGCTTAGTCTCTTTTGAGTTTCTAGTAGAAGCAAATTTCTCCCTTTAAAAACTGAATGTTCCCAACGAGATCTCATGCGGTTTTTGACATCTTGGTCAAGTTATCCTGGTTGATTTCTCAAGTCTAATCATCGTTTGTGAAATCTTGTTATTTTGTTTATCAATCACCGAGGCTGATTTTTCGTCCATCTTTGGTTATCGGTTCTGATTTCTCGTTGTTGTTCCTGTAGAGCTTAAAAATAGTCTTCTTAATTCACAAGTATATAGTTGGTAATCTTGTAAATACGCAGGTTTACCCCGAGGGTACACACCTTATGGTTCCTTGGTTCGAAAGGCCGGTCATTTATGACGTTCGTGCACGACCTTACCTTGTTGAGAGTACCTCCGGAAGCCGTGATCTTCAGATGGTACTCTGTTTGAAATCCTCCCTTTTGAGTGCCACTGTGGTGTAATGTCGAGAAACAACTTCATAAGCTCTATGTGTTTCGTGGTTTTTGGAAACTTTCAGGTGAAGATTGGGCTTAGGGTTCTCACTCGTCCCATGGCAGACCAGTTACCTGAGATCTATAGAACCCTTGGTGAGAACTACAGCGAGAGAGTTCTGCCTTCTATAATCCACGAGACTTTGAAAGCTGTGGTTGCTCAGTACAATGCAAGCCAGCTTATTACTCAGAGAGAGGTACAATATAAGCGGCTTGTTAATATATGTGCATATCTTTTTCCGCCTTCTTAGTGAGTCAAGTTAATGAATATGTTTTTCTGGCTACCCTCAGGCGGTGAGTAGGGAGATCAGGAAGATTCTAACTGCACGAGCAACAAACTTCAACCTTGCGCTTGACGATGTGTCCATCACGACCCTGACATTTGGGAAGGAGTTCACGGCTGCCATTGAAGCAAAGCAGGTGGCTGCTCAAGAGGCTGAGCGGGCTAAGTTCATCGTTGAGAAGGCCGAACAAGACAAGAGAAGTGCTGTTATCCGTGCCCAGGTAAATAGACATTGTCTACATTTTTCCAATTTCCTAAGTTCTGAGACTGATATAGTTGTGTGACCAACGTTATCTTGCCTTGTGTAGGGAGAAGCCAAGAGTGCTCAGCTCATAGGTCAAGCGATCGCAAACAACCAAGCGTTTATAACCCTCAGGAAGATTGAGGCGGCAAGAGAGATTGCACAGACCATAGCACACTCGGCTAACAAGGTGTACCTAAGCTCGGACGATCTTTTGCTTAATCTACAGGAGATGAATTTGGATGTGAATGCAAAGAATTAGAGAGGCTTCTTAAGTAAAACCCCCTGTGGTTTGTATCGTCTTTTCAATTTGGAGCAAAAGCTGAGATCTTTGGATTTTTAAATACTTGTTAAGTTGTTTTTGGGATCTCATTATCCCAAGGTTATAGCCTTTGTCTATCAGGAAATGAAGACACTGTCTTGCTGAATGAGTTAATTGTAATAAACTTGTCGTTTTGAAAATATTCGTGAAAAGCAAATGTATCCAGAGTTGCATTTGGGATTAAATGGCCATATTGAGCAAATGCATTATCGTGCTACATATAATCCACCACAGATCTTTGCCGATAAGAAATCTAAATGACTTAACGTACCAAGAGACAAAGGGAGATCTTTGTACATTCTTTTCATGATCAGTCCAAGGAATTAAAATTGTACAAAGCAGTATAATCAAAAAAGGGAAAAAAATGGACCAAAAAATGTTACGTATATAAGATTACACTGTAAATTTAAATTATTTTCAATGTATATATGTATTAATGTAATATATAATGCTTAGATTATATACCATTTCTCTTATTTGACGACCGTCCATGCATGTAAAAAACTATTCTCAATTTTCAAGGGATAAAAGGTTGAGAGCCATGAACCAAATGGTTCTGTATCCCGGTCTGGTTAAACGAGATAATCGCCGGAATATTGTTATAATACTCACCGGATCCTTCACCACCATTGCTCTTAAACTTACCGTTATTATGATGAAGATGGTAATGAAGGTGGCGACCACCACCACCACCAAGGTGATGGCCATGGAGATAAGGCCGCTCCTTTGCAGTGGCTGCGGCAGCAACCGAGCCACCGCATTGGCGTGGTTGAGTCTGGTAGAAGACTTTGGAGACGACGAGCTCGCCTTCTTTCTCTTCCTCGTTGGTGCCAAGATGATATTGATGCATTACCCAATTAGTCTTCTCGGGTTTCTTTTGTTTGCCGTAGTTTGTGTAGAGCACTAGGATTTTCTTGTAGCCTCTCACTCTTCCTCCGGCGAGAACTGGCCGTGTTTTGCCGGTCTTGTGCCACCGTGTTTCGCCAGCGACTTCGGAATCGGTGTGGACTTTACGTCGCTTTCTTGTTCCCGTTGTGTATGCCTTTGACGGTCGGTGGAAGAAATGACGGAGCGTCCCGTCCTTGGTCACTCCTATATGTATGTCATGTGAACACTATTTAAATATGTATGTAATAAGCTAACATTTATCGAAATTAATTTAATTAGGTATGACACTCCATAATAAAGAAATTGGATCAGCTATATACCCTATTTCTAATTTACAATGCAATTGTTTTTTTCACTTAATTTTTTGAGTTTCAATAATCTTTACTAGCTATGTAAAGAAATTATAGAAAATAGTGTATCTAATAATTAGAATAAACGGATGGTATACAAACTATATGAAATTTCACTTCATCTAAAAATTTTAACATCTTAATACGATAACTGTACATTATATCTCTCATCAACTCTAAAACTTTCATATTATTCATATATCTACTATTTGTTCTTTTTTTCAGGTCGGATAGTTTAGACTTTAGATCATATGAAGACGACAAACATTATATTTTCTATTAAGAAAACAAGATAATTGTTGATAGGATTGAAATAAATAGGGGAAAACAATATAGACTCACCTGGCAGTTTCTCAGGATGGGTATAACAGATGCCATTTTCACCATCGATGGTACGAATAAACTCATCGATGAGAGGATGAAGCTTTCTTGCGTCGTCTCTTACCTTCCCTTCAAGATGCTCCAGAACCTCTTGATCCGTCGGATCAAACTTCACCCCGGCAGGCAATCCCGGCAAGTCATGGATACCCGCCTGCATACACATCGGGTTTATTCATTTTGATGATCTAAAACTTTCTAAATATACAAACTTGATGTAGGTATAGAGAGAAACAAGAACCTGTTCATGAAACTTGAAGTTATGGCCACAAGAAGGACAAGTTTTGTGACATGAGACCGGAAATGAGGCTGCAGGAGAATCAGCCGCTGCCGGTGAGGGAATGATTCTTTCAACGGTCTGAACATCGCTACGGTCATTGCACCAAGTCATGTTGTTTTGTGTCTCTTAGTTTCGTTTTGTGCATATTATCTTCTCTTCTCTTCTCTTCGTCCACACTGCTCACGACTTCATTAGAATAAACAAAGGCATGAGAGAGAACAAAGAGAGAAGGGAAAAAGGGTGAAAGATGACTAAAGCATATGTTTCCTAAGAAGAACTCTTTGAGGTTATCTTGAGAAGGAGGAAGGAATTGAATTCTTGTTCGTCACTTTTTAAGTTGAGTTAATTGCTCCTTTTTGCACTTGATTTAAACTTTGTACTATCCATGAGAGAGAAAGATGAGATAAGCTTATAAGAAATTTTATTAAACCTCATTTTATAATGTATACAAAATGTAATGTATACTATATAGTAAGAAAGCATTATTTAAAGACTTAGGTTTTTTAATAAGTATGTAGAAACAATGAAACATACAAAAAAAAAAAAGAACAATGAAACATACATGCTAAGTAACAATGAGAGGACTGGTACACCTACAACTTGAAAGTAATTAAAGAGTATAGACATTTAATTACGAAACTTTCAAATCTTTAATTTTACATATATGTAACATTGATAAAATACTGGATTTTATTTGTTTTTTAAAGTATATATGCAAATACAGATACATACTTATATAGAGTAAAAACATGGATTTGAATAAACTTAATTTTTTGTTTAAACACATTATGATATTCTGAAGAATATATTAACTAACCGATTATCATAAGACCAAAAAAATGGATTGCTTGGGTTTAAAGTTTGATTTGGCTTCTACATGGCATGTATGGTGTGTGAGAGAGATATAGACAGAGACTGATCGAACAAAAAAAAAAAAGAATATGTGAACAATATATTGTGAAAGAATATACATGTGTGAGCTTCCTTTTTCGACAAGAACATTCTTAATATGGTACAAAATAGGTTTTATCTGGTCGAATCTATATATAATATAAATTAAACATTTATAAAATCTGCTATTGATTTGTTAATTTACTGATACATTACATGTATAGGATCTAAAAGTGAATATGAGATGGAGTGTGTTTGCGGCAAGGTGTTGCTGCTGGTCTGTGAGAGATCAGACGTGATATGGTAGAAAACTAGAAACAAAAATAAGAAAGAGAAGTTAAGGTCCAGCGTCACCCTAGAGTGTATGTAAAGATATTATTACATAATCTTATACTTATAACTTACACATCTGAATATCCATTTTTACCCCTGACGTCTCAATAGTATACTACTATAGAAAACATTTGAGTAAACTTTTGAATATACATATTGTTTTTTGATGAATATTGTCCGTATCAGTTTTTCTTTAGATTTAACTTTTTTGCAAATTCTAAGGAATATATACATTCATGCATATATTATGACTGTTTGAAGTTAATTCGAAAATGTATCAATATAAATTTCAAAATTACCATGTGAGAATTACAAAAGAACAAGAAAGAAATCGTTAAGAACATAATTTTTAAGTGCCATGTGACAAAGACCTAATATTATTTTTTCAATAAACTAAATTTCACTCTGCAGCAAATTTGTCAGTGCAATAGCGAAAATACTGGTATATATAATATCAAAAAAGAATAAATAAAAGTAGGAAGCTATTTTTAATAGATAAAAAAAAAAGAAAAAGAAAGTTAAAAAGTCAGTCATTATTCTATTTCTTCACGTAGACTTCTCATGCATAACAAGTAACCTCAACCTTTATTCTTTATCTGTCGTCTGATTTCTTTCCTCCTCTCCCCAGTCAATTTTGAAGACATGTTATACCTATTATTATCAAGCTAAAACAAAAATCATGAACAAATGTTACACTTATATGTGTCCATTGGGAAATTTTGTGGTTTGCTTGTTGTTTTCATGGGTATAAATCGCGGCAATGTGTTGTGTCATTCAAGAAATCCAATCACAAGCCCTTTAACGAAAACAAAAATAAATCAAATCACATTACTGACATCTCGTCTATGTTTGGCTATCTAGTAAATATAAATCTAATTTTATAACTACATAATTCACATCCAAATTCCAACACAACGATTTCATAAACTGTGAATTTACTGCTATATTACTTAATACTGTATAAGTTTTGGAAGTTTTGGAATAAGACATCATATAATAAAAAAGGATATATTAATTTTGTGTTTTAACGTCCGGTATGTGAGCTTGGATATCCAGAGAAGATGTTGCCCTTCCGAATGGCGTTACCAGTAAAAATAAAATAAAAAAATAATAAAAAAATAAAAAATTTGAAATTTAAGATATTCTTCCCAAAAAAAAAAAAAAAAAAACTCGTTCCTCAGAAAGCAGAATGCAAATCCGTTTACAAATTAATGTGGTAAAACTGGTAACGGACCGATTATGACTAAACGAAGGTTGGCCATTGAGTGGACAAACCACCAAATGTTGCAATCATTGCGTTAATTTAAATAATTGGTATCCAAACTTCATAACATTAATAGCTATTACCTAATCAGAAAGCTTCACATTTCTGTTTCTGATTTCTTACAATTCACCTAACTTAACAACACCAAATCGCTATTCTCAGCCCAAACCAACCCAACCCGGCCCATATTAGAGTATTCAAACGCTGCTCTAGTCTTCCGTGTAGTAGTATGGCGTGAGTTTCCCACCGGTCATAGTAGATTTAGACGCGTTTGCACCGCTACAAGAAACAGCAGCAGAGACTTGTTGAAGCATGATCACAACTTTTCTCATGGAAGGTCGGTTTAGAGGGAGAGGACTTGTACAGAGAAGAGCAATGTGAATAACTTTGCTAATCTCTTCTTTGAACCCAAGATCGAGTTTGGGATCAATCACAGGTTCCAGACCGCATTGGTCAAGTGTATTGCACACCCATTTCGCCATATCTTTGTCTCCTAGTTCCTGATCGGTTGGTTGCTTCCCTGTAACCAGTTCCAAAAGCACAACACCAAAACTGTAGATATCGCTCTTTTCATTCACCCGAAGTGTGTACACGTATTCTGCAAAATAAAACTATTAATAAATATCTAAAAAAAACTCGGAATATCAAATCAAATGTTACAAAAACGCAGTTGAAGTTTCTCGTTTAACGTTTTGGTTACCTGGCGCAATGTAACCGCAAGAACCGGCGATCCCAGACATAGCTTCTAGCGTTTTGACACCGCTCATCTGACCAATTTTGGCGATCCCAAAGTCGGCTACTTTGGCACCATAATCTCTATCTAGAAGAATGTTACTCGACTTCACGTCACGGTGCACAATCGGAGGTACACAATCATGGTGTAAATATGATAAACCCTCCGCAGCGTCTAACGCGATTTTTAACCGCTCAGGCCAACCCAACAAAACCGCGCCTTTGCGGCGACGGTGCAACGCATCGGCTAAGCTCCCATTAGGCATGTACTCGTACACCAACAACTTACAATCTCCGGAGCTGAAACAACACCACAAACGCACAATACTCTTATGCCTAATCGTTCCAAGCGTTTCGACCTCCGCGGTGAAAACGTCTCTATTCAACGAATCGCTATTTCCGTCTCCTCCTTTGGCCGTTTTGTTGAGTTTCTTCACGGCTACAACTTCTCCACCACTAAGCTCCGCTTTATAGACTTTACTAGAGGAACCGATTCCGATTACGTTCCGTTCAACGAGACAACCAGCGATTTCGTGCTCGCTGAAATGAAGCTTGTGAAAGGATCTCCATTTGGAGGCGGCGAATCTAGGGCTCTGCTTCTTCGAGGCTCTGATCTTCATGAACTTGGCGATGAACATAACGATCCCGACGACGAAAACCAGACCGGCGAGTGTGAATATCGATAGGAGAATCCAGGCGTAGCCGTTGTTTTTGGGCCGTGTGATCTTCTGACAAAGCCCATCGAGATCGACGCATAGGCCGGGATTTCCGAGGAAGTTACGTGCGTAGATTTTATCAGCGTAGAGAGGAGGAATTGTACCGGAGAGATGATTATACGACAGATTTAGAACGTTTAGTTTCAGATTCTGCAATTCCACCGGAATTTCACCGGAAAATTGATTGTTTGAGAGATCGAGGTAGTTGAGAACATGCACGGTTCCGATTTCTCCAGAGATTTCACCGGAGAGATTGTTATTCGCTAAATAAAGCTCGTTTAGATTCTTCCAGCCTCGAATTCCTCGAGGAATCTCGCCGGAGAGATGATTCGTACTGAGATCAAGCCTGCTCAATTGCTTCAGTTTCACCAAACTTTTAGGAATCTCGCCGGTGAAATTATTTTCCGCTCCGGAAATCTCGATCAGTCCGTTAAGCAATCCGATTTCGCCGGGGATTGAACCTGAAAACTGATTGGTCGAGATTCGGAGGTTCGATAGATTCTTAGCACCGGATATCGTCTGAGGAATCCTTCCGGTGAACGAGTTATCGGAGAGTTCGAGCAGCGACAAGCGAGGCAGTCCCCAGAATTCGTCCGGGATGTGACCGGAAAGCTTGTTGTTACTCAATCGAACACGAGTCAAGCTCCTGCACTTTCCCATACTAGTCGGGATTTCACCAAAAAACAAATTGCCTATGAGCATGAGATACTCAAGTTTCCCTTCCCCGCATAGATTCGCCGGTATCTCGCCGGAAAATTGATTATACGAAAGGTCCACGTACTGTAACGGGGAGTTCGCGCCGAGTTGACTCGGTAACGCTCCGGTGAGTCTGTTGTTGAAGAGCTTGAGTTCTGACAAGGTTTTGGAGCGAGTTATACTCTGCGGCAGGGGTCCTTCGAGCATGTTTTCGAAGAGATTTAGCGACTCAAGGTTTAACCGAGTCAAGCCGTCGGGAATCCTCCCTGTAAGATTGTTCATCGATGCGTCGAATCTCCTCAGCATCGTCATGTTATCCATCGCCTCCGGTAACTCGCCTGAGAACGAGTTGTTGAATAGCTCAATCTGCTCGATGCTCTTCAGCTGAGTGATCCAACTCGGGACAGACCCAGTGAGTCGATTCGTTGTCAAATCCAAGCTAACCAACTGAGTCAACCCGGACAGAGCCTGAGGCACCGGACCCACGAGGCTGCAACCGGCGAGCCAGAGAACACGGAGCTCCGTGAGATTTCCGAGTTGACTCGGGATTAGACTCGGAGAAAACAAATTGTAAGCGAGTTTGAGCTCTCTCAGAGTCGAGACGTTGCCGAGCGAGGCGGGAATGGTACCGGAGAGGAAATTTCCGGCGAGGTTCAACGACTCAAGCTTACGGAACTCTCCGAAGCTCGCCGGAATCGAATCTGATAAGTTGTTCCCGGAGATGTAAAGGTTCCGGAGGTTTGGTAGCTTGAAAGGGAGTGACTCCGGGATGGAACCAACCAAGAGATTCTCCGACAAATCGAGATGGCCGAGATTCCGACACGCCGTGAAGTCGTCGCCGGAGAGAGAACCATTGATGGAGTTGTTGTAGAGAGAGAGGTAAGACAGAGAAGGAAGATGACAAAGGATGGAGGGGAAAGGACCGACGAGCATGAAGCTGGAGAGATCGACGGAGATGACTGATGACATGGCGTTGCAGGTGACGCCGCTCCACTGGCACGGCGTGACGTCGTTGTCGGACCATGAAGATAGGAACTGGGCTGGGTCGGATAGGCCCAATTTGGCTTGCCGGAGAATGGTGGCATCGTGATTGAGAGAGAGAGTTAGATACGTGGAAGAGAGACATAGAAGGACAATAAAACAATAGAGCATTTTTCTTTATAACTGTTTATTTTTCTATATCATGCTTTGGACTTGTGATTAAAACGAAATTATGAGGTTTTAAAGGGTTTATAAGATTCGTAGAAGCAAAAAGGAAAGTGAACACTGTGACAAGACATGTGTGAGACATCATGTTCTTCTTAATTGGGAAGACTTTACGAAGCCAAAATATACAGTTAGATTTTAGATACATCCATGTGAAATGGAGTCCATTGCAAAATAATTTACACTGAAATCATCCCAAAAATTGTAAGTTATAAAAATTAACATATCCCAAATTTGAATAGTTATATCGTCTTACGCTAAGTTTTATTGAAAAAAAATAATAAGTAGTTTTTCACATAAAAGGAAAAAAAAAAATAGTCACTCTCCAAGTCAACTCAAAATCCTCTGATGGTCAAAATGATGGAGATACATGGGCCATGTGCTGTTGGAATTATGTTGAATTTTCCGAGTTTGCATTGAAACTTCTCGACTTTTTGTATGGATGGAACAATACATGAATGTGTAGATCGATACCTTATGATTTAATATCGATCTATATAAATTATCTTAAACCGAAAACCTAAACACCTATGGTCCCATTCCCCAACCCTAGGTTGAATAGAGAGTTTGATGGACAATCATTTACTTGTAAAGTAATTCTTAATCCGGTTTATGAATCCACGTGTAAGAAAGACAAGGTCAAATTTGGTTGGTAGGGAAAACATGATCTAACAGTAGACTTTGTTAGATTACTCTCATTTCACTAGGAAAAGTAACAGTCGTTTTGAATTGAAAGAACGAGATTTAAGGGGGAGGAAAAAAATAGAAAGTGATAGATCTTGTCTTTAACCTGTTATCACGAGTTTGCGATTCTGTAATCTCGATGACGGTACATACCACTAAGCACTATGATGTCACCTTGATCCAATAACGTTTTAAGGTTTCGTCCTCTAACTAACGATAGAAGTTTCCTTTTCTTCCAAGGTTGCATTCCCTTCACGTCTCCGAAGCCTTTTGCCTTTTTATTGTTGTAGTTTAGAGTTTTGGTCACAATATTAACATTCTCTTTACCTCTGTTATATTGAAGCTTAATTGTAGATTATTGTAACCAATACAAAAGATTTGTGATTGTTTCATTATAAACTTCCATATTTCTTTAGTAAATTTTTTTTTAGTAAAATTTTGTTTACTAAAAATATAATAACCCATATTTCATATTGTTTACATGTTTATCACAGCATGTAATAAATATATGGAATAGAGGTCACTAAAGTTTCTCATTATGTTTCGTTTTATTAACACACAAGTGAAGTGCATGTCGACTTCACAACCGATAACTCTCTTAGCCGAAGAATAAATTCCTCCAAAGACCAATTTAATGCATAGTTTATATGGACCACAAGTAAGACAGATTGCAATTAAGCCACGTCTTTGAAGAATACGAAACTAGATAATTTGCTTCTTCTTTCTTTAAAAAAAAAAACTAGATTATCGTAGTATAAACAAAATTATATTACAAATTTACAATGTTTTTCATTTTGAAATATCTTCTTTAATCGAATGGGCTTCGGCTCTTTTTTAATTGCATATTTGGGTTCCCCCTAAGCTTGTTTTTGTATTTCGAAAGGTGGGTAGTGATGTACTGCTGTATCAATTATATCCATCTTTGAACCTCTTGCTGTTGAAATCGTGTGGACTTGAAGCTCATCTGTGGAGTTGCGCCTCTGCTTCTGAGTGTAAATATGATTTTTACTAGTATATATATAGAAGCGTCACTGTGTGTGTGTTCCTCATCGACGTACCTCGAAGCTCTTGAACACTGTACTCGTGGGATCTCGAGTGGTTTTAAGGCATGCTTTCAAACTTCTCTATATATCCCGTGTGCTAGTATCAGTGTTCGGTAACACTTTATATATAGGTTGTGTTACCCTTTAATTTTTTTTTTTTTTTGGTTGTTTGCACTTCTGATTGGGTTAATCTCTTAAATAATGTTCTTAAGTTAGCAAAAAGAACCAAAAAACATATCTATTTCTGAACAAGATTACAGTATTTTTTTTTTGTAAATGTGCGGTTCACCAAATGAGGGTTTTTTTTTAGAAATAGTCCCACACACTAGCTGAATTCTCAAATCAGCATTTTTTTACTAACTGTTTTTTCTACGTAACTAATTTTATATCTGAGTTGGAAAAGAGTTTCATTAATCCCTGATACAAACTAAAAATAAAATCCCCAGATGTATCATTTTATTTTAACAGAACAAAAGTTCATATTCATTTCATTTTGTCAGCTACATGGCATGAAAAAATAAGGTTCAGAACAATTTATAAATAAATGTGTGTATATGGCTTTCGTTTCCTTTAAAATCAATCTGTATATGGGGCATAATATATTTGTGTAATGGATCCGTTATATGAGTTTTTAAGTGTAACAACCATATGAGATTTTTCTCAACAAATTCACCTGTTAAGCTTATATCAATGTAATAAAAGTAATTTTGTTGATAATATATTTACATAGGAAATAATACAGTATGAAACGGTAACAGCGTTTTAGACTTTTAGTTAAAACCTTTCCGTTACGAATTTCTTGTTTCATTACTCTTAAGTATTATTTCGGTTTTACGTTTTTTGTTGCTAATCCTGACTCGCAACAGAAACATAAAAATGGAAGAACAGAATGTCAACTTGGAAACCTGAAACAACAGCTCAACGGAAGAAGACACAAAAAAAGAAAAGATATCGAAACCCATAAAAACTTGTCCAAAGTTCTTTCTAATCACAATAACCATTAGAGAAAATAAGACATATCTAACCATTCCAATTAGCAGAGTAATTCATTAAAAAGAATAAAGCCTAGTAATGGAGGAGACGAAGCAAGCATTGATAGCGTCGTTGCCTGAGGCACCAAAAAAACCAAAGTCGAAAGTACAGAGAGTGGCGAGGAATGCATTCAAAGGAACAGCTCATCTGTCAAATTTGCTCCCGACCGGTTCGGTGATGGGTTTTCAAATAATGTGTCCGGTCCTAACCCATCAAGGTCAGTGTCCAACCATTACCAGTCGCTGGCTCACCTGCTTCCTCGTCTTCGTCTGCGCCATCTCTTGCTTCCTCCTCTCCTTCACCGACTCCTTCAGAGACCCACGCGGCAAGGTATATATATACATATCTCTCTCATTCGCCATTTCTTTCTTAAGTTATGTTGCTACGTTTTGAAAACATGATTCTATTTTAACAAATAAAACAACAAATGGTTTTTTGAATGCGTTTCGTGATTAAAATGCAGGTAAGGTACGGATTGGCGACGCCGAGTGGGTTATGTGTGATGGATGGAACGATTACTCTGACGGAGGAGGAGAAGGAAAAATATAAGCTCAGGTTTCTTGATTTCGTGCACGCAACCATGTCAATGCTCGTCTTCTTCGCAATCTCCATGTTCGATCAGAACGTGATACGTTGTTTATTCCCGGTTCCTTCAGAGGAAACTAAGGAGCTCCTTTCCAGTTTGCCCTTTATCATCGGCGTTGTTTGCGGCGGCTTCTTTCTCGCGTTCCCCACTCGCCGTCACGGCATTGGATCTCCCCTCACAAAGGAATAAATTTCATATCTCTAGAACAGGGAAGAATAAAAACAAAGACATAAACTTTTGTAAACACAAAAAGATTTTATCTTCAATTTTTGTTTCTGGAGGACATGTACCAAAATCTTGAAAAAAAATTACTTTGAAAATTTAAAACAAACAGGGGAAACTAGACCCCAATCTTGGATTACTAGAAGGGAAGCAATTCCCTGTAAATCGTATATTACCAATCCGACCTGAATCGCTCACATCGCAATACAGAAGCTTTAATCATCACCCAAGAAGCTTCTTAAAACCAGCCTTCTGTTCTGCAGTTAACCTCGCTGGAAACTTGATGTTGAACTTGATCCTTAAGTTGCCTTTCTTTGTCTGATCTTTCTGAAGTGGCATTCCCTCTTTAGGCACCACCTCTTCATACTCTGGATGGATCACGTTTGTGACAGGGATTGTAAGTGTCCGACCATCAAGTGTCGTTATGTTAGCGGTATAGCCAGTTAAGGCATCAGCTAGTGAGATCTTCTGTGTGACAATCAGGTCGTTTCCATCACGTGTGAACACTGGATGAGGTTTCTCGTCGATGATGAAGACAAGATCCGCTGGAATCACGCCGGGATGTTCATTGCCTTTCTCTGGGAATGTGATCTTCGTGCCTTTCTTCCATCCCGGTTTCACTCCAATCGTTAGAATCTCTTCCGTTTGCATTGCTTTGCTGCATTTTTAGCAGAATACAAAAAAAAAAACGAACACAGAGATTAGATATTGCCAAGACTACAACTAGGGCCAGCTCAAATCAAACAAGTAAAGGTGCACTGATCAATGCCTGTCAAATCCTTTTTGGAATGACATGTACATTATAACCTAAAAGCTTGAAACTTTAGCCACAGAAACGTTCATAGTTTGGGAGGATGTATATTTAAGATCACATTCCTTATATGGGACTGGTAGATAAAAAAGGCTTAATGTATGCGATCGAAATGGTATGTGAGTTTGATCGCTTACCCGCTGACATCTACAATCTCTCTGGAGATCTTCATCTTCTTGGTGGTTCCTTTGTAGAGATCTTCAAGGCTACAAGGCAGCTTGTTCTCGATTGGAGCCACTTTCCTAGCTCCACCGTGATGATGATGATGATGGTGATGATGCATTGATCCACCACCACCTCCTCCTCCTTCACCAAACGAGGCATACATGTCATCACCAAACATGCGGCTAGAGAATCTCTGCCCTCCGCTGCCACCAGCGCCTCCTCCACCAAACGGGGTCGAGAACCCGAAAAACTCAGCGAATATATCATCTGCACTTCTCGGGTTGAATCTGAAAGATGAAGGTCCATCACCCGTTGAGAAGTAGGAGGCTCCACCAGGTCCACCAGCAGCATTAGGAGGTGGCACGTTCCCTTTTAGCCCTTCCTCACCGTATTGATCATACACCGCTCTCTTTTGTGGATCGCTAAGAACCTAAACAACTCACATCCAAGACCAACATTAGCCACATCAAAGCCTGAATCAAAATTAAACCATCTTAGTATGCTTCTGTGAATCCTAAAGTTACAAACTTGCACTGATTGCAAAGTAGAGAGATTCCTAAGAGGTTCTTAATACCAAAACTACAGTGAGATTGAGTCAGAATATCGTGAGAAGAAGCAAAAAATGAAGAACTTTGGGGACCCAATCGGCGATTCGATTCGTCCTCAGATAATCTAGTTAGCTCAAAAATAAAGCAACCATCTTTTACATTATACTATGATTCGAAATACTCGGAACACGAAATCTGGGAAACCAAGGAGCCAACGCAACATCAAATCGTGAAATCAGCAATTAGTGATCGTGAAAGCAGAGTAATTGCATCTCAAATCGGGACGAAGTGTTTCAACTCCGCCGCCGACAGTATCACGGCGAGGAAATCTATAACTAGAAATGAAAGTAAAAAAAAAACTGGGGGACGAATTCAATAAAGCAATCATCGATTTAAATGAGACCGAGTGGAGATGAGCATAAAAAACATACGTCGTAGGCTTCAGAGATCTGCTTGAACTTAGCCTCAGCGTCTTTTTTGTTGTTAGGGTTCTTGTCGGGATGCCATTTCATGGCGAGTTTTCTGTAAGCTTTCTTAAGGTCATCGTCGTTGGCGCTTCTATCAACCTGTAGAACCTTGTAATAATCCACACCCATCTCACCTTCTTCTTCTTCTTCTCTCTTTCGCTTCTTCACTTTTCCTGATTGAGATTGGTAGAAGGATTATTATCAGAGAAGATTTTGGTACTTTTTCTGGGTTCCTTTCTCCGTCGACGTGTTCTTCTTCCTCTCTTTCTCTTTCACAATTGATGTTTCTTACTAGTAGAGAATCTCGTGGAAGGTTCGAGAAAAACACGATCTCTATCTCTCTTCGTTGACGGTGTTAGCCCTCTTGGCTCTTGCCTTCCTTCTTTCCATTTCTCTTTTATTATCGTTGAAGTAATGGAATTTTCCGTTATTTTTTTTTTCTGTGTGACTCGACTTTTCCATAATTAGAAAAAAAACAAAGTTAATATCGATGAATACGTTTGTAAATTTAACAATTTATTTCGAATTTAATCCAAAAAATTGTATAACTTTTTAATTAAAGATGAATTATACATTTTGTCAAAAAATAAATCAACAATGCATCATACAGATTTGAATATGGATGTTGGGACATCGACTACACTTAACACAAACTATTAAACTATATCTTTTAATTAAAAATTGTGTAAATTTTCTGTTACTTTTGTTCAGAAGTATGAGACCCGTTAATACAACATCGTTTTCTAGGCTATTTTATCGTATGCAGCCTGATTGATGAGCATCGACTGAACACGAGAATTAATTTGTTTTTTCTGTCGCTAACCAAGAGAATAGTTATTGAAAACTTTCACAAAACAGCTAGACTTCACTCTTCCAAGCAAATTACAACTTTTATGGAGATAATGTAGTATGCATAAATGTCGTTGTTGTTGTGTTAGCATCTGAGTTTAAAATAATTTGATTAAATGTTTAATGTTATTGAGAAATATATTTGTGTGGAATCAATACTAGAGGCCCTAAACAAGTGTATTATATACAGAGTCTGTGTCGGAAAAAATTCAAATATTTATACAGAGAATGGCAGAGAAGTATGGCCCAGTAAGTAGCCCGACAGAGTTATGGGCTGAGCCCATATTGGAATTCTTGATCGAGGGGTAGTCTTCTCCGTATGAGTGTATTTACTTGTGTATTTGTTTTCTATAAACATCTTTCTCCTTCTACCGTTCACCTTTTCCCTCAGTTCTAGAAGAAAAGCATAATACCTCTCTGACGTGCACTTTCAGACTTAGGGTTTCAGCGATATCCCATTAGCTAGCAGAAGCTGCTCGATTTGTCCGAGTTTTCGAATTTCCGGTATCGTTTGTTGGATTTGTCAGATTGATCGGGTGCTAGTTTGACTGAGATGGCTCCAGTTCCGGATCCGAACAACGTTAGTGGTGGTGCGAAGCGGGATGAAGCTACGGTGAAAGTTCCTTCTAAGGACCCCAAGAAGAAGGATGATAAAAAGGAGGAGGATCTGGTGAGTTTCTCTTTTGTTCGATTTTGCACGATTAGCCTGTAGATTTTGCAGTCAGTTGAAATCTGAATCGACTATAGTAGTTTAATGAAGCAGCTTTTCAGAAATTTAGGGATTTAGCTCATGAGCTGTTCATTTGTTTAGCTCATGAGCTGCTCATTGTTAAAATTCACGTTAACAAGTTCTGGGAAAATAGTTCTCTAGCTGGGATTTACTTCCATGGCCTTAGATATTCGGAACTTTTAGCACTATAACTGTGGCTACAGCCAGTCTTTTAGCTAATTTTTGATTACTAGATGACTAAGTTTGCATCTGATGTGATTGTAGTCTGAAGAGGACTTGCAACTAAAGCAGAACCTGGAGCTCTATGTTGAGAGGGTTCAGGACCCCAATCCTGAGTTGCAGAAGGCTGCTCTTGAAAGCATGAGGTAATTAGCCATCCTCGAGTTGATTCGCTGGAAATACCCAGATAATTTTCGCTAGGGATTGTTTTCTGGAATTGTGTAACTCTTTTCCTGGTTTAAGTACAGTATTCATGTTTTTTATCATCCTTTTTCGTAGTCTATCCTTGATTTGGTTTAATCTTTTTGTCTGTAGGCAAGAAATCCGTGCCTCAACAAGCTCCATGACATCAGTTCCCAAACCCCTTAAGTTTCTCCGTCCTCATTACGGAACTCTTAAGGAATTTCATAAAAATATGGCAGAGTCCGATCTCAAGGTACGTCGTCAGACACTTTAAGAATTTAGCACCTCGTTGCTCATAGTGAGTATGGATTAAAGATTGCAGTTCCTGTATTTGCAGAAAATGTTGGCTGATATACTGTCTGTCCTGGCACTGACCATGTCTGCTGAGGGTGAAAGGGTATGCTTTCTTGCTACAATAGTAGGGATAGTAAAATTTTCTTACCTATTGCTATCATATTCATATCACTGGATTCCTTTTTATTTTCTGTTTGTTTCCTCTTATGATATGCCTTTAACAGATCTGCATTTGGTGGTTCTTGGTAGAATTTGACAAAGTTATTTGCTGGTCCTTTGTTATGCAATACTCTTTCAGGAAAGCTTAGGCTATAGGTTGACTGGATCTGAGGGTGACATTGGATCGTGGGGTCATGAGTATGTCAGGAATTTGGCCGGAGAGATTGCAGAAGAGTATACAATGCGTCAGGTTAGAAAACAATTTGGTCTTTTGCAATATTTTTCGCTCGAGTTTTATTCATATTCAAGTAACGCCATGGATAGTTATGTTTGGTTTTCTCTGCTGGTCCGTTATTATGATAGTGTGCTTTCTTTTTTATTTAGAATTGTTTCTGATTATATGCTTGTTCTTGTTTTGTTAAATCAGGGTGAGGAGTCCTCTATTGAGGACTTAATGGACCTTGTGCAGCAAATTGTTGCTTTTCACATGAAGGTGAGATCCTTGTCATGCTTAGTTTTCTTGGCTCGTTGACCCCTTGTAATAAATTAACAACACTTTCATTTTTAGGCTTGAGAATTGCACCTCTTTTGTTTTCTTATCTCTGAAGGATTCCATTTTCTTCCTTACAGCATAATGCAGAAACCGAAGCTGTTGACCTCTTAATGGATGTTGAGGATCTTGATCTCTTACTTGAGCATGTAGACCGCACAAATTTCAGGAGGACGTGCAACTATCTCACGAGTGCAGCAAAGTAATTATAATTATGATCATCTTATTCATGTGACTGGTTTTTCACACTCATTTGTGGTTTTAGATCACTCATACTGTAATTTTCGTATGAGTCAAGCTCTTATGAGCTTTGCTTGGTTATTTCATACAGAACCACCCCCTTTGACATTGTATGTTTTGTTTTTTTTTTCAGATACCTTCCAGGGCCGGATGACATGCTGGTCTTAGATATTGCTTACATGATCTACATTAAGTTTGAAGAATATCCAAACGCTCTGCAAATTGCATTATTTCTTGATAACATGCAGGTCTGGGTTCTAATTTTTCATACAGAACTTAATATCCTCTCTGCACCATTGGGGCAGCTGGAAAAAGCTTTTCTAAGTTATGTATTTTCTTACATGATATATATTTTCCGTATTTGCAGTATGTGAAGCAAGTATTTACCTCATGCACTGATCTGCTAAGAAAGAAACAGTTCTGCTACATGATTTCGCGCCATGTAAGTGCTCACTGATTAACATCACTATAGAGATTCAGTCGCTGATGATTCACTATTTTTATTTATCTTTTTCTTTTGCTAACCCCCATGCAGGGCATCACCTTTGAGCTTGACCCTGAGATGGTTGCAGATGACGTTGACAGAGAAATGCTACAAGATATTGTTAACAACACTAAGTTAAGTGAAGGATATCTGACGCTTGCAAGGGATATTGAGGTCATGGAGGCCAAGACGCCTGAAGACATCTACAAGGTATATCATTTTCATCGAAATGATGCCCGTTACTGGTTTGTTTTGCAATAGGGTATGTTTTTGTCACTGTCTCTTATCTATTGAATGAAATTTCGCAGGCTCACCTGCTTGATGGCAGGGCTAGCTCCGCTCCAAGTACGGATTCTGCTAGACATAATCTGGCTGCGACTTTTGTGAATGCATTTGTGAATGCTGGTTTTGGCCAGGTGTGATTACTGATTCTTATGGTGTGCAAAATGAGATGAAGTTTGTAAGCTTGGCTGCCCTTTTGATACATTCACATATTGCAGGACAAATTAATGACAGTACCATCAGACTCAACCAGTGGATCTGCTGGAAATTGGCTCTTCAAAAATAAAGAACATGGAAAGACCAGTGCAGCCGCCAGTCTGGTATGCATCTTCTTACGTGATAGGTTGACTAGCTGTGTTCATATCTTGGAAGTGAAAATTGTAATAGGACCTTGTTGTTTCCCAATGGTAGGGTATGATCCTATTGTGGGATGTGGACTCCGGACTTGCTCAACTTGACAAATATTTCCATAGTAATGATAATCCAATCATTGCTGGAGCTCTGCTGGGAGTTGGGATTGTTAATTGCGGCATTAAAAATGATTGTGATCCTGTGAGTTGATTTCTCTTGCGATTTTATTGGAAGCTCTATGTTCATTATTTTTCGCATACACTCCCCTCACTCAGCTTTCTTTCTCAGGCATTGGCCCTTCTTGGAGAATATATTGAGAAAGAGGATCCATCTGTCCGAATTGGTGCTATTATGGGTCTTGGAATTGCATATGCGGGTTCCCAAAATGATCAGGTGAAGTTATATTATCTACGTACCTATAGTGATATGTTTAATGCTATGTTGAAGAGACAATAACATGCTCACTGTTTGGACAGATAAGAAGCAGTTTGTCTCCAATACTGAATGATGCAAAAGCACCTCTCGATGTGATTGCCTTTGCTGCACTTAGTTTGGGGATGATTTACGTTGGTTCGTGTAACGAAGAGGTTGCACAATCTATTATATTTGCTTTGATGGATCGGAGTGAGGCAGAACTGGGTGAAGCCATCACTCGTTTCTTGCCTCTTGGACTTGGACTTTTGTACCTTGGCAAACAGGTAGACAACGTGTCGTACTTGATAAATTTCTTGTTTGCTTACTCGATCGTTTTTTCCTGGCTTATCAGTGTCAACTTGTTCCCATATCGAGCAGGAAAGTGTGGAGGCTACCGCAGAAGTCTCAAAGACGTTCAATGAGAAGATCAGAAAGTATTGTGATATGACACTTCTTTCCTGTGCGTATGCTGGAACTGGGAATGTCCTTAAGGTATCTGATCAAGTATACTGGTGGTTATATTACATAGTTCATTGCTTTCTAGTTTAGTTGCTGAATCTTCAATTGTCCAGGTCCAAGACCTTCTGGCTCAGTGTGGAGAGCATCTGGAGAAAGGTGATATTCACCAGGGTCCAGCTGTGCTTGGATTAGCGATGGTTGCTATGTCTGAAGAATTGGGTCTTGATATGGAGATCCGTTCTCTGGAGCGTGTGCTACAGTATGGAGAACAGAACATTAGGCGTGCAGTGCCTTTGGCCCTTGGTCTCCTATGTATATCCAACCCAAAGGTGACTGCTACTTTTGCTGCTTAAGAATACTGCTGCTTAAAAAATCTAATTTTACTTTTATGCTTACGAATACTGCTGTTACTCTCTAATCTTTTCCATAAATCCAGGTCAATGTTATGGACACCTTGAGCCGGCTTAGCCATGACACAGATTCAGAAGTTGCCATGGTGAGTTGTCTTTTCGCCACTCACGGTTGAGATGGTAGTTAATTCATTGACTTAAATTTCAGCGTTGGACTGATGTTTCGTTGCACTGACTCCTATAGGCAGCAATTATTTCTCTTGGTTTGATCGGCGCTGGAACTAACAATGCAAGGATTGCTGGCATGCTTAGAAATCTCTCCAGCTATTATTACAAGGATCCCAGCCTTCTCTTCTGTGTAATGTGTTAAAGTTTATGTTTTTGCTTTCGTGCAATAAACACAGTTTCTATTGATAGGCCTGTTCTCATTGTGTCAAGTCATATCTCAGGTGCGTATTGCTCAAGGGCTGGTGCATATGGGAAAGGGTCTCCTAAGTCTCAGTCCCTTCCACTCCGAACGGCTCTTGCTATCACCGTAAGTTGTTATTTTTATATATACTATTATGAATAATTAGCTTTTTAAAGCCTCACCCTCAAAATCCTAAACATGAGTGTTGTATATTGTACTCAGAACGGCCCTTGCTGGTATAGTGACATTGTTACATGCATGCCTTGACATGAAATCCATCATACTGGGGAAATACCATTATGTGCTCTACTTCCTCGTATTGGCGATGCAGGTGAGTGCAAATATTCTATCTGAGGAATTTTCTTTTTTGTTTGGTTAAATGGATTAAGAAATGTTTATATAGTAACACGATACGGTTTGAATGTGTAGCCAAGGATGATGCTGACGGTGGATGAGAACCTGAAGCCCATCTCGGTGCCAGTGCGGGTAGGACAAGCGGTTGATGTGGTTGGACAGGCAGGTCGACCCAAGACAATCACTGGTTTCCAAACCCACTCAACACCTGTTCTCCTTGCTGCTGGGGAGAGAGCGGAACTCGCAACTGACAAGTATTTTGTTCCTCTAAACCATTTTTCCTACTTGAAACGAAACTCTGTTTGGAACTCGCAACTGACAAGTATGTTATCTCATTTTTGGTCACAGGTACATTCCATTGTCGCCCATATTAGAAGGTTTCATCATATTGAAAGAAAATCCAGACTACAGAGAGGAGTGAATGCAAAGTTGTGGAACTGTTAGACATTTGGATACTCTCAGGAAGAGCTATATGGTTTTATGTGCACAATAAGTCCTTTTTCCTTAGTTTACTCGCTTATGTTCCCATGAATGGATTTAGTTAAACAATATCCCTTTTTTCAATCGCTAATTGTGCACTTTATCATTCTAAAGTTGGATAAGTTTCAATGTTCCAATTTTTAAAACTTGCTCATCTAATTCAACTCGCTCTACTTCTTTTACTTCTTTTCTCCTAGTAAGAGGAAAAAGATAAGGTGGGCTCATGTGTTCATGCCCCCGGAAACTTCAACAAATTCATGCTTTGTTCGCACACTAACTTAATCTTCCGGATTTGGCAAAAAGTATGGATAATATAAAATGTTAAGAAGGTGATCCGGCAGGCTACATATACATATATGGCGTGCACGATTCACTCGTTTACAACTTCTCTTTATTTTATTATTTTGCACATCTTGGTTCCCAGCTACCACAAAATAATTCCCTCGTAAAATAAAAGTATAAAATCTTATTGAAATTAACCACCAACAAAAGTAAATTTATATATGTACATGTATATTGAGTGTTTAGTTTCTACCACTAAGTGTATGAATTTAACAAACAAAGTAAAAAATGAATGGAATACAGTTATTGACCGTTTGTTTTGGTATAATTACCATATGGATATGGTATATATCAATCTCCTCCACCTAGAAAAAATAAAGTGTAATCTAATGGCCGCGACCTCTTGGACTCGGTCCCGACGCCAGACTCTGAAACCAGGAATCCACCGTCGACTTCATCTTCTCCACCTCCATCACCGTCGCTCTTCCCTCTCCTAAATTCTCCGTTAGAACTCTCCCCGCCGCGGCTGGAACCACCACGTGTTCTACCACCAACAACGCTACCATCATCACCACAAACAAAATAGTAGACCAACTAACTCTCCTCATTTGATTTTACCCTTTGTGTGGAACCGTAAAAAGAAAAATAAGAGCTTCGAAGTAATCAGGTAATAAATTAGTATTTCCGGGGAGTTTTATATTGCTTGGTTAAGAAAGAAAATTTAGGAGTTATGGTTATTGTTGGATAGATAAATGAGAGGGAGTATGTGTATATATATACACTTAGTTACGAGGAAGCGGTCATGACTCAAGAGTTCATCACTTAGGTCGGATTTTACCGGCGCCATCTCACGATTTGCGTGTTGACCAAGAATTGTGACTTGAACGGGTCGCTCTACAACACTTTACGATGTGTGAAATTACATCAATGCCCATTTTGGTGTCACTGATGATTTTTTTTTTTAGTTTAAAATAATAAACCAGTTTTTTGTAAAGGAAACTTCATTTTTCAAATTATTTATCAAAAACGAATTACAATCCAATATAAAATATGATTTTGATTTAACATTTATTATATATCACAAATTAACACAGGCTTAGCTTTGTTGTGAAAAGTTATGTTTGAGGTTTGAAACTTAACGCGTAAGTCAAGATTTGACTAATGAAAGTACCGCAAGAGGACCTATTCACAGTTTCACCTAAATAACTCTCTTATCATTTATCAGTTTAGTTTGGGGCAAAAACATTGAAAAATAAACACATCATGGGATGTAATAAGGTTGAAATGCGAGGTAAAATTACGTATGAATTGTGTTATTAGGTACAAGTTAATATTATAAGTAAACAAAGAAGTGTTTTGGTAGGTGAGTTTTCCTGTTTTAAAACTCAAGTGATTTGCATGTGAGTTTTATTGTTCAATAGAAAATGCTAGTCACATAAGCATATATCTATTCAAAGAGTGTTGTTTTTAATTATTATATTCAACCTTTTTTTTAATGTATTGTACATCTAAGACTCTTTCATTTCAAGAAAACTTGAAATTCAAAACATGAGAATTTGACTTGTCCCAATGCAAGGGATATGCTTGTGCTACTACTACCAAACTAGTAAAAGTCCGACGCTAACATTTTTTTTCAAAGCTCATGCCTATTTTTATTGTGTATTTACACTATTACCATAAACAATTTGGACATTTTTTTGCCGGAAAATCAGAACATATATTGAGTTTAATATATATTAGTTCTTGAATATATTGACTATTTGAAAACATATAAAAAATCACAAAATGAGTTAATTTGTACTATTAAAAAAAAAGTAATTTCAAATATATGTTATCCAAAAAAATTATATACGGCCCATTTAAATACTTTTTTGTGAATATCGTAGCGGGAGAAAACCTATTTTATCGGCCCATCTCAGGAGGCACAAGCTTCGTCTCCTTCAGCTCCTCCCTAAACCTCTCTAGGGTTTTTCTGTCTGCAACCACATCTCTTTCACTCTACCTCTCTCTCTCTCTCTCCCCCCGTTAGCTTCTCCGTGACCTTTTTGTAGACGTAATCAATGAAGGTTAAGGTTATATCGAGATCAGTTGATGAATTCACTCGAGAAAGAAGTCAGGATCTTCAGGTAATTTGCATATTCAAATCGTTCACATATCATAAAATCAGGGTTCAGTTTCGATTCCCGCCTCAATTTCTCTCCACGACGTGGTTATCAATGCGTTGCAACTTGGTGTGATTTTTTCAGCGGGTCTTTCACAACTTCGACCCAAGTCTCCGACCTATGGAGAAGGCAGTGGAATACAAGAGGGCTCTTAATGCTGCCAAATTAGATAAGGTGTTGTAATCAGTTCCCTTCAAATCTCTCTATCTTCTGTTGAATTTTGATTTTTCAGTGTGCTGTTTAGTTCTGTTATTGATGAAAAGCAATGGAAAAATTCCTCAAATTTTCCCTGTGTTTGTTTAGATACATGCAAAGCCGTTTATGCATGCCATGGATGGGCATCGCGATGGCATCTCATGTATGGCGAAGAACCCGAATTACCTGAAGGATATCTTCTCGGGTTCTATGGATGGAGGTGAATATCCAAACTCTTGTTTTCTCCAAGTCTTAACTCTAATTGAAACTTTTAAGGGATGATAGTAACTTATACTATGTTACTATTCTGCAGATATTCGCCTTTGGGATCTTGCTACGAGGTTAAAATCTTGAAAACTCTACTCTTCTGAACAAATCTGTAGCTCATTTAGTCTTTCCTGTATAAAGAATTCTATGTTCTGTGCTTTTGGTAAATGTGTTCTGGAACTTGGAACAAACAGGCGCACAGTTTGCGAATTTCCTGGTCATCAAGGTGCCGTGCGTGGTCTTACAGTCTCAACCGATGGCAATGTATTGGTTTCATGCGGAACTGATTGCACGTAAGATATAAACAACTTATTCTTAGACTCATTCAGTCCCTGACCCGCATTTAACGCTTTCAGTCTAAGATGAATGGGTTTATGCAGTGTTCGTTTGTGGAATGTTCCTCGTCCTTCGCTTCAAGATTTTAACATTTCATCTGAAAATTCTATTGAGGTGATTATTTGTCAATTTTCTTGTAAGACTGGATCATCAAGAGTACTTTTCGAAAGTTTCCTTTGAATAACAAGCTTATTACTCCAATTATCCTTTCAGCCATCTGCGGTCTATGTCTGGAAGAATGCTTTCTGGTAGACTTTCTTACCATCTTGTTTCAATTTCTCATGAATCTTTCGGTCCACAAAACTGGAGGTATTAAGCTTTCTTTCATATCTAGGGGTGTTGATCATCAGTATGGAGGGGAACTTTTTGCTACGGCCGGAGCTCAATTGGATATATGGAATCATAATAGGTACTCAGGACTCTTACTAAACAAGAAATCTCTGATGTTTTTCTATCTTTATTTTAAACAGTGCTTATAGTTCTATCTTTTTGTAATTAGGTCTCAGCCAGTTCAAAGTCTCCAGTGGGGAACTGACTCTGTAATATCTGTCCGGTTTAATCCTGGAGAGCCTGATTTATTGGCAACATCTGCTAGGTATATACTTTCTACTTTATACTTGTATATATTATGTAACTATTTGAGCTAGACTTTCCAAAGCTTTATCTAACAGTGTAAGAGGGTTTCTCTTCTTCCAGTGATCGCAGCATAACCATTTATGATCTCCGCATGTCTTCTGCAGCAAAGAAAATTATCATGATGGTATAGTTGAAAATCGATCGCTCATTCTCTTCATTTGTGAATATTTTTTATTCTTAAGTGCAACCTTGGTCTGCAAATTACTTATCTTTTGGCAGACGAAAACAAATTCAATCGCATGGAACCCTATGGAGCCTATGAACCTGACAGCTGTAAGTGATAATCATGAAGTGAAATTTTCTCTGATGGGTTTTTCTACCTGGGGGAAATCAGCATTTGGCCTTCGCTTATGTGTTAATTTTATCCTATGGTGAAAATGAGTAGGCTAATGAAGATGGCAGCTGCTATAGCTTTGATGGTAGAAAGCTGGACGAAGCCAAGTGTGTGCATAAAGATCATGTTTCTGCGGTGTAAGAATGATAAATACCAATTATCTGCGAGAAAGTTCTACGGGATAGTATCCTTTTAATGCATTATGATTTATCTAATTTCATCATTTTTTAGGATGGATATTGATTATTCACCAACTGGTCGTGAATTTATTACGGGATCTTATGATCGATCAGTGAGAATCTTCCCCTACAATGGAGGACACAGCAGGGAAATCTACCATACAAAGAGGATGCAGAGGTATAATTCTAGAAGCCAACTCTGTTTATACTTTACATTCAGATGTTCTTAATTAGTTTTATTCTCGGCAATTTCTTTATTTTAATGCGTTTGTTTTTTTCTTGTAGAGTATTCTGTGTCAAGTATAGTTGTGATGCGACCTATGTTATATCAGGCAGTGATGACACTAATGTCAGGCTATGGAAGTCCAAAGCATCAGAGCAATTGGGAGTTGTAAGAATCTGTGCATCTTCTTGTTACACAGCATTAGGTTTCTTTATACAAAATGAAAACGAAAAATTTGGAAAAGGAAAATACACACAGGCTAAGCCATGGATTCAAAAGTGCATTTGATTGTGAGATATTATTTGTACAACTTAGGTAAATCCTCATATGTTAATTGGTGTATTGTGTTGCAGCTTCTTCCAAGGGAACAGAGGAAGCATGAGTACGACGAGTCTGTGAAGAATCGATACAAGCATCTTCCTGAGGTCAAGCGCATTGTCAGGTACACGGCCAAGAGTGTTTTCTTTATTCCTTATTTTTCCAACTTTGGAGATTGTCAAAATATTAATAACATGAACGTTTTGGGGTGATGTGAAATACAGACACAAGCACGTGCCGAAACCTATATTCAAAGCAATAGGGATAATCCGAGCCAAGAACGATTCGAAGAGGAGGAAAGATGCCCGAAGGAAAGCTCACAGTGCTCCAGGAACCGTTATCACTGTACCTCTGCGCAAAAGAAGGATCATCAAAGAAGTGGAGTGAGCTTACCTGTTCTCGATTTACGTTTAATATTACGTTGTTAAGATTTGTTAGAAGCCAAGAATGTGTTTGAAGCCAGAAAATGAACAAAAAACAGAAAACACATCTATAAGATTACATTTTTCCTAAATTTATTGTATTTGTTTCTGTAACATGTCATACATGTATACAAATATTTGCTGAAGTATCATGAAAAAAGAAACAGACATGTAACAAAACATACAAGATACCAAAAAAGAGAACAAAAATTTTATTTAACTGTGCTTGATTGTGAACAAGGTGTCGATGGTCTTATGACTTGCATCCAATCCAAGCAAATATAAAGGAACGATACCACGGACTAAATAATTCTAAAAAGCGAGATCCTTAGTTCGTGTTTTAGGATAAAAAGAAAGCATTCTTACAAGCATCTCTGGACCAGTCATACAAATCTTCATAATCTAAAAATCAAAAGACCTCCACGGTAGAAGAATCAGAACCAAACACTCTCAAGGGTTAACTTCCATACACATACTAATAAGATCACTGATCAACGTTAATCAGTTCGTATTCAACAAGAGACAGATTGTTATCCTCTTTGACTGTGAAAGACGCAGGTTCAGTGGCTTCGATACGTCCCCATTTATCAACCCCTAGCCTCATTGTGCCCTTGAACATGTCTATCCTTGAATTGCGCAGTATCACCGTCTCCCCTGGCTTCATGATATCAACTATACACACAAAATCAATGAATCAATCCAATCAGTAGGCCACAGGGATCGCACAATAACTGGTACAAGACTAGATGTTTTAATAGGAAAAGCTCTGAAAGTTTTGAAATCATGAAGAACATTTAACTCATCATAGCTCAACATCTCACCAAGCAAGAAGTTTCACCATCACTAATCGGGTAAGATGAAGTATACATTAAACATCTCCGGTCGAATTAGCGTAATGATATTATACAACCATTAAAGTCACTAAATTGCACAAAAACATCATTGAATGAGCAGATTTTTCACAGTAATTCCATTTCCATTTTCAGACAAGAAAGCTTTTTTGTAACATTTCCAGAGCTTGGCATAAACAAAATATGACAATAGAAAGTGACGGCAATAAACGAGAGAACAACAAAGGATCAGACTTTTCAAAATGACGATACCATTTCTCAATCCTAAAAGCAAAAGAAAAGTGTGAGAAACCTTGATCGTTACGAGCAGTGAAGAGAATACATCCGGTTTCGTCTCCGATGAGACACTCGACGATTCGACTGGGCTGAGAAGGACGACTCAGAGAAGTCCCCGTACGAGCCTTCCGGGTAACAGGAACCACCGGATTCGCATCAACGACCTTAACAGTCAATGTGTGACCTCCCGTTCCAGGCTTTAGCTGTTCCACCTTCACAAACACCGGTTTTCTCTTCGCCGTCGTCGACGTTCCCGTCGCAACCGCTGCAGTCCCTGTCGTCGCCATCGCTCTTACGGTCACGAAATTACAGACCCAGATTTCGGGTTCGCCCTAAATGGTTGAATCGATAAAGTAGTGGGGAACTGAGAAGGCGATTTAGGGTTTATAAAGAAAGACGATGATGCTCTCTCCCAAGACGGACGAAGAGTATTTATCACCTGTTTTACGTTACCATGAACTTGCTACGTGTCACATTTTTATTTGAACTTAATTATCACATTTTCGTTACATCACAATCTCATGAGTGAAGCTAATTATTTATACTTGGAAAAAAACCTTAAAAATACCTCACGTTTATAACTTTTGCCAGAAAAATATCCAAACTAATTCGATTCCCTTTTAAATACCTGACATTTATATGACTACATCTTTAACACTCGAAGTTTCAAAAACGGTAAGTTTAACTACCGATTTTTAATCATGCTTAAATGTTAAACGGAGATAATGATACGGCGTTAAGAAGATTAATCACGTGAGTTTAATTTATACATGAAAAGACCAAAAACCTTCCCTCACAAAAAACCTAAATTGATATTCCCCAAATCGAATTTTCCCAAATCGAAAACCCTAAATCGATTTTCCCCAAATCGATTTTTTCTAATTCAACGACAGCAAATCGCATATCGAAATACCAGTTCTCTAAACCCTCTCGAATCGGTATTGCTCATCTGAAGAGATCTTCGTCTTCACGGCGACCTTCGGCGAGACTCGAAGGATGTGGTAAGGATCTAAATTCAGGGCATTTGATATTAGTGTTGTGTTTCGATTAGTTCTGAGTTGTTTTGAGTGACATCTGCTTGTTTTTCGATGATGCAGTGACACCATAAAAATCAATTTGCATTATGGAGGGCTTATGTACATCAAGGATTCTAAGCGAGTGTACGTAGGAGGTTCGGTGAAGGAGGGGTTAGTCGTCGACCCAGATTATATGACTTGGAGCATCTTTGATGACTATTGCGACGAAAAAGCCATAGGAGCCGGCGTCATTGTGGAACAAATATGGTACAAGCTGCCACACGAGAGTGTAGACTCAGCGAAGGCTATATTTTACCTCTCTTCTGATGCTGGGTTAATGCAGATGTGTGCTGAAGCTAGTGTAGGCGGTGAAGTGGATGTTTACACTGAGAAAATTGTACCTCCTCAGCCTATCGAGAATGAGGAAAGAGAGAATGAAGGAAGTGTTGAGAATGAAGGAAGCGTTTGTCAAGCTCTTGTAGTGTATCAGAGAAAAGAGGACGAAGGAGGCGAGTCTGATGGTGATGATGTTGAAGATGATAAAGCTCCTGAAGCTCCACACCCAGATGACTTCGCACAAGGGGAAGAAGTTGTAGAAGAAAGAGCCGATGATGAGAGATTTCAGTCTTTTATGGCAGAAATGGCAAATGGAGATAATGCTGGGTTAGGTGAGCATGGAGATAATGCTGGTGTAGGTGAGGATGGGGATAATGCTGAGTTAGGTGAGGATGGAGAAAATGATGGGTTAGGTGAGGTGAATGATGGCTTTGGAGAAGATGAAAATGCTCCTGATGGTGATCAGAATGAGAGCAATCCTGAAGATGAGCACAGTGCACCAAACGCAGATGCTGATGCTGAGGCTGAGTTCGAGAGACAGTGTAGAGATGCTGAACATCCAGAACCAGCAGAAGATACAGATGACGAGTGGGAAGGGTTCAACCGGGTTGAAAGAGAGACTGCAAGGAAGCATTACAGTAAGGAGCGGCCTCCATATTTTTGGTTACTGCAGACTTTCAAGAGCGGTGATGAATTTAAAGAGCAATTGTTGAGATATGTTTTGAAGACAAACTATGACGTCTATCAAAACAAATGGGATAAGAACAAGTATGCTGCAATATGTGCTAGAAAAGGTTGTAAGTGGAGGATCTACTGCTCGGTGGAGAAAGGGAAAGGGTTGTGGATGGTTAAATCTTACCAAGGTAAGCATAACCACATGAAGAGTAGCAAGGCTAGGATGTTGAAGCAGGGTACAATAGCGATGCTCTTTAAGGACGAAGCTAGTCGAAGGCCTGGTATAAAATGGAGTGACATCAAGGACGAGATAATGATCAGGTATAATCTATCCGTCTCTAAGTGGATATGTACGAAAGCTAGAAGGTTAGCCCTAGATATGGTTATTGAAACACAGAAGGAACAGTTTGCAAAACTGTGGGATTATGAGCACGAGCTAAGGCGGTCTAATGATGTTTCAACTGAGATTGTGACCATCCCTCGTGCTGATGGTAAGCTAGTGTTTGACAGATTCTACATTAGTTTTGCTAATCTTCGAAACAATTGGAAGAGAAACTGTCGACCAATTATTGGTCTTGATGGAGCTTTTATGAAATGGGAACTCAAAGGTGAGATTCTGGCAGCTGTAGGACGAGATGCTGATAATAGGATTGTCCTTTTTGCGTGGGCTATAGTAAGAATTGAGGATAATGAGTCATGGGCTTGGTTTGTGGGCAAGCTGAAGGAAGAGTTGGATTTAGGGTTGGGAAGTGGTTTTAGTATCATATCTGACAGGCAGAAAGGGTTGATAAATGCGGTTGCGGATCTCTTACCTGAAGCTGAGCACAAGCATTGTGCTAGGCACATTTTTGCGAATTGGAAGAAAGTATATGGGATGGTGGAGTATGAGAACTACTTTTGGGCCATTGCTAAAAGCTCTTCCTTAGGTGATTACGAGTACAACAAAGCCGCTTTGGAGCAGTTTGATCCTGTGGCGTGTGCAGACTTATTGAAAACAGAACCAAAGGCTTGGTGCAGGGCTTTTTTCAGTCCGCAGGCGAGATGTGATGATGTCTGCAACAATCTTTCAGAGAGTTTCAACAGGACAATCAAAGATGCCCGAAAATTGCCATTGATTAATATGCTTGAAGAGATTAGGAGGCTAGCCATGAAGCGTACAAGCATGAGGAAAGAAATGACAGGCAAATGTGACAACAAGTTTCCACCTAACATAATGGAGATTTTTGAGCAAAACCGAGTTGACAGTGAGACCTGCACAGTGCTCTATAGTAGTGAAAACTTGTTCGAGGTGGTTCAAAACGACTGTAGCTACGAGGTGAATCTTCTATACAAGCATTGTGCTTGTAACACTTTGAATATCACTGGGATACCATGTAGCCATGCGATTCATGTCATTTCTGAGCTAAACCGTGACCCTGAAGAGTAAGTCTTCTCTTCCCCTTTTTTATAGCTAATTAACTCCTTTTCCTTGATTTGTAGTGTATAACTGTAACTCTTTTTCCTTGTTTTGTAGTTATGTGGATGATTATTACCTGACTTCTAAGTGGCATGACACTTATAAAGACAACATCAGGCCGGTTAATGGTGAGAGATTCTGGGAAAAAACAGGCAAACCTCCCATTCTTGTACCTGATAAAAGGAGAATGCCAGGGCGTCCAAAGAAGCATGATCGGATAAAAGAGCCTCACGAGTCATCATCAAATCCGACGAAAGCTACTCGGGAAGGAAGGGTTGTAACATGCAGCAACTGTAAACAGACGGGTCATAACAAAGGAACTTGTAAAAATGCCACTTATGTGGAAATAGGTCCTAAACGGAAAAGGGGAAGGCCTAAAAAGACTTAGGTATATAATGAGCTTCCTTATGACTTATATGACGGTTTGTATGGCATTGTTTAGGGATGGTGAATGTTTTTCGTGATTGTGTAATAGGAGGATGATGCATGGAGCATTCAAAATGCACCAAAAAGGAGGAGGACTGGTCAGAGTTCAACACAACCATCGATGCCTTCCACACAAGAATCAGTTGATCCGCCGCCATCAAGTGCTCCAACCGCATCAACTGGACGTGGCCGTGGACGTGGACGTGGCCGTGGCCGTGGAAGTGGCCGTGGACATGGCTGTGGGCGTGGCCGTGAACCACCAGTTCCAAGAGGATATGGATGCTACATCTCTCCTTACACTGGTCGGGTTTTTGACGTGTGGGGATCTAATGCTACTGAAGTTATTGGTCCTTTTAACAACCCGTGAATGATTTTAGTGTTTTAGTGCTTTGGTGTGTGCTTTTGTTCTGTATTTTGGTGTCTACTACACTATGCATTGTTGTTTCTTTTGGTGTTAGGCTTTTGCTGAAGTTTGATACACTCCTGTTATGTAATGACATTCCCATTTTGGCATTGGCATTATGCATTTTGGTTTGACATTTTGACATTGGCATTATGCATTTTGGTTTAGGAATAAACAAAAGGAAAACATAACTCGATTGATTCAGAGTTTAGAACAACAAAGACAACAAATGAGCCAAGCCAACAACCAATACATCAACTAGAAGACTGAGACATGACTACACCCAAAACAACAAGACAACAAAGACACCCAAATCTACTTCTTCACCATTGTTAGGAGCATTGCTGTGACCACAATGAATCCTCCCCAGGATATAACAACGAATTGGCGTAAAAGCTTTTCCCTCTCTTTTGAGGCCATCAGTTCACTTTCAAGTTTTGTCTTCTCTTCTTCAATTTTCTCGAACATCTTCGACTTCATCACGGCTGAATCAGCTCCAGTCATATTTTGGTGAGTGAATGTGCGGAGAGACTCGTTAAGCTCCTTGATTTGTTCTTTATGTCGCCTAATCTGATCTCTGGCCTCAAGTAAGCTAATCTTCTGCCATCCAAATGGTTTTTCTTTGTCAGCCCAGCAAAGAAACCCATGCGTATCACATTTGTAAAACCTTCTTCCTGGGTTTTCATCCGTCCATGATTTGGACAAGGTCATCACTTTCTTACATTGACAACTCGGATTCTCCATTTGGGTGAATCCATCGTTGAACGAGTTACCTGACGACGCTGAGTTTTCCATTCACCGCTGAGAGAAGAGAGAAAAGAGAAGAGAAGAGCTGAAGAGGAAAAATTAGAATTAGCGTTCATGAATTTGGGATTTTTGGGTAAGACCCTAAATAAAGGGTATTTGGTCTTTTCATGTATAAATTAAACCCATGTGATTAATCTTCTTAACGCCGTATCACTATCTCCGTTTAACATTTAAGCATGATTAAAAATCGGTAGTTAAACTTACCATTTTTGAAACTTTGGGTGTTAAAGATGTAGTCATATAAATGTTAGGTATTTAAAAGGGAGCCGAAATAGTTTGGATATTTTTCTAGCAAAAGTTATAAACGTGAGGTATTTTTAAGATTTTTTTCCAAGTATAAATAATTAGCTTCACTCATGAGATTGTGATGTAACGAAAATGTGATAATTAAGTTCAAATAAACCCTTTAATGTAAAAAAAAATACATAGAAGAAAAAAAAAAATCCAAACGCCCGTTTGTTTGGATGTGGTGTTGTATGCCAACACGACGTCGTGCTAAAGGTTGTGAATAGTTTAAATCCCGAAAATTTGCAAAAAAACACATGTATTAAAATCTGTTTGACTTATTATCACGTAATACTTTGACGAATCATTATTCATTATTAGTTCTTATATATCTAGTTAAATAAGTTTTCAATTTTCATATTTCACGTAATCTTGTCGATTGACTGTTAATTACTTTTCTGACAAAAAAAAATGTTAATTACTAAATTTGTCACATTATTAGGGTGTACAGTATATATATAGTTTATATAATTAAAAATATATGGTGTCCTTATCCCTTAAGGCACCTGTTTTACATAAATAAGCGAAAGATAATCTACGTTACTACGTAGAATTCCTAAACTCAAACAGAAAAGGAAAAATAAAGCACCTCTAATCTCAAACTGAAAAGGAAAACATTCAAGAAAAGGAAATATGCGGTGCATCAATACTTCAATATAAATATAGAGACTTGATTTTTCTTTTCACGCATAAATATAGAGACTTGATTTATAGGTTATATTACAATCGAGATATTTAATTAATCAGCGATGGAGAAAACAAACAAGGTTATGTGGGGAGAAATAGAAGACGATGAGAACTTTGATTACTTGCTTCCGGCGAAGCAGATGATCGGGCCTGACGAGAATGGTATCAAGAAGGTGATTGAGTACAGGTTCAACGACGAGGGCAAAACGGTCAAAGTCATCACCACTACACGTGTCCGCAAGGGGAAGGCTGGAGATAAACGGGTCGTGGAGCGGCGTACCAGCTGGACTAAGTTCGGCGACGCCGTCCATGATGTTGCCGGTGGTGGCGGTTTCACGACGGTTTCAAAGGAAGACATCTTGTTGGAACGACCCAAGTCTCTTTACGGTAAATCTCTTCTTCATATATTGTGTTTACTTTTCCCAGTAACCTCTCTGTTTCGTAGTTTTAGGTCATAATCATTCTTTCTTTCTTTTGATCTTGCAGGTACCAAACCGGAAGAAACAAAGGCATCTCAAGAGTTGGTTAAACCCGGTGCGGTCCTGATGATCTGCAGGAATTGCGGCAAGAAAGGTGAGCACTGGACAGCAAGATGCCCTACGAATAACCATTCCTCGACGACAGATCATGCGGAAGCGTCTACGAGGACTGGCACTGATCATCACAAGGCTGATTCTTATGTCCCGCCAAACAAGAGAGGAAGCATTACTGTTCCAGACCCGAGGAAGAGGAACGACGAGAACTCTGTACGTGTGAGTAACTTGTCTGAAGACACTCGTGAAGAGGATCTGATGGATTTGTTTGGGACATTTGGTGCTGTGGCTCGAGCCTACGTGGCCTTTGACAAGATGACCGGAACGAGCAGAGGCTTTGGTTTTGTCGACTTTGTGAACAGAGAAGACGCACAGCTAGCAATCAACAAACTGAATGGTTATGGCTATGACCATCTCATCCTTAGGGTCGCATGGGCTACTCCTAGAGCCAACTGAGATATGTTGTTAGTTCGAACATATTTATTTGCCTTACAGTTTGTGTTGTTTTATACTACTTTGTTTTTTTTTCTCCCTTTAACAAGTTCTGTCGTATTTCAACAGCACCAAAATTTGTGTTTTTCTCTCTCTTTTTTTTATGGGTTTTTTTCTTTTCTATTTTCTTGCCACACATTCTCATGAATGAAGCTATTTATCTAGGGATAGTTGGATGATTCTAATTAGAAATTTCATAGTTCAGTAAATTTATAATGAAAATCAAAATTATTGATATTATAAAACCGCAAATAGTTTTTTTTTATTAGATTCAACTTGGAAAAAATTCTAGAATGATTGTTTTGATAACAACGGCGTTGATGATAGCATTGATGATTCAGATTTCAGAATACCCTCATGGTATTATTCCACCAAATGTTACATCTTTATTTGGTTTGTGTATAGATGAGTTGTGTTTAGATTTCACTATTGTCACTTAGCTTCAGATCTTGAAGAGAAGCCACTGTTTTCTTCATATGGCGTTGGCAGAAGCCGTTGAGCCTCTCAAGTGCATCCTCTAGCATCTGAGCTTCTACTCCGATCGTTATCCTTATCCAGTTCTTCAACCCCAAAGCCACTCCTACAAAAATCAAGAAATTTTTCACATTCAAACTAATCCTCGATTTTCAAGTTTTATTTTATGTACTCTTTTGATTGTAATTTTTAAGGTGTTACCTGGTAGTAAGACAAGGTTTTCTTCCTTGGCTAGCTTCATACAGAAATCCATATCATCTTCTATGTCCTCCATCGACGGAAGCTCCAGTTTCGTCTGCAGTGTTTGTTGTTGTTGTTGTTAAGAATCATTCAAATTGATCAGGAATCATCAAAGAGTATGATAGAGGTTTTTGGTACCAATAAGTAAGTGCATGACTCAGGTTTTTTGGTGCAGACCACACAAGGAATGTCCTTGAGCCTATCACAGACCAATTCCACGTTCTGTTTCAATATCGAGTTCTTTTTTGCAAACATCTCTTTATTCGATTTCTTGAGGATCTCTGGAAGCGCAACCTGAACCATAGTGGTAGGGTCTGGAGTTATGTCAAGATTCTGTTGGATTGATTGAACTACCTATCAAAAGGGGAAACAAAAACAGAGTGGTTACTTGTAACACAAGCTACAAAAAGATCCAAATTATGAAGATGATAATTCGAAAAATAAACAAACCCCTGTGGCCTTGAAAATGCCTTGAGGATCATTCAAAGCGATCCAGCCAATTCTCCAACCAGGAACAATCCACCCTTTCGAAATACCGCTCAATGTGAGAACCGGAGCTATGGAAGAGAATCTCCCCATTGGAACAAAAGGGTTGTCTCCGAATATTGTTTGGCTATAAACCTCGTCCGTGATCACCATTATTCCAAGCTTTCTAGCTGTCTCCGCCACCTAAAGAGGCTAAATCCATCAGCAACATTTCTATAATCTTTCGAATTCAAAAAGCATATATAAGAGAGACCAAGACCTTCTTGAGATGATCGTGAGAGTAGACATTTCCACAAGGGTTATTAGGGTTTATGATAACCATTGCGACAGTGTTCTCATCTGCCATGGCTTCAATGCCTTGGAGATCAATCTCCCATTCTTTCTCGGGAAGAAGATCGTACTTGCGGACCTCAAGCCCACTGTAGACGGAACGAGCCTCGTAGTGAGGGTAACTAGGCCGTGGGAGAAGAATGTTAGCGTTTGGTCGAGCCAGAGACTGAATCACCACTTCGATCCCTTGGTTGCATCCGACGGTCATAAATATATCATCAGGCGTTACCTTGTTCGTCAAGTCAGGGTTCACATAATCGGCGACCGCCCTAATTAACAACATATTCAATGAAAGTCAACTAATTGTGGATCAAAGCTTAACAAGTTGGCGAGTAAACTAAAAGGGAATATTACTGTCTGGCGGGGAAGATTCCGGCGGCGGGACCGTAAGAGTTGCCCTTGCCGGAGCGGAGGACGTCAACGATGGCGTTCTCGACGTCGATGGAGGTGCGGAAGCAAGGGTAGACAGAAGGGTCACCGTGGGCAAGGGGTAAAAGAGTCTTTTTGACTTCCTGGCTGCAGAGATCGAAGAGCTTGTAGACGATGACTCTCATCGTGACGCTGGAGGCTTTGGCTGCCGTGTCGCTGCCCTTGAAACGCCAAACGCTGTCACTGGACGCATCCTGCGTCTGCGTCTCTGCTTCTTTCTCGGCTTGTAGGGAAGGAGCTACGAGGTGGCTGTGGTGGCTCATTGTTAATTGATTCGCTGGGAGTCTTCTGGATTTTGAAATCTGAATGTTTATAGGAAGAGGCTAACAAAAAAGTCTATTTATAGAGAGGAAACAATCGAAAAGTTGTTGTTCCATCAAAAAGTCTTTGGATCGAATTTTTATAGTCAATCGCAGACTTTCCAAACCTTTGAATTATAGACTCTGGAGTCTGGATGAACTTGATAATATATAGTATATATCATTGGTGGCGTGCGTGAAAAAAATCAAAAATATTAAAAGAATTTGACGTAAAATTTCCGTTATTTGTTGCTCCGCGAAGGCGCTAACGCTCCGTTTCCCCAAACAATGTGCCCTCTTACACATTATTATTAAACATTGTATGGAAGTTGAATTATGAAACATTGAAACGTGAGAATATTGGTGACACCAAATACAAAATTAAATGGCATTTTTTCTCAGATTATATGAGTTCGAAAGGACTTATCTTTAAAAGAAAGTTGATACGAATTCCCAAAGAACGGCACACACTTGGTCGGTATCGGATGGATAGATCCTTGATTTCAAACGATTTTACGGAGAAGATGCTAATGGGTGGGTTGAAACCCGAAAATCCTTAGGCCCAAACTCGCGGTGAAAGGCTTGAAACAAGGGGGTGACTAAGCTGGCTGATTGTATCCGCGGAAAAAGGATGTTAAGGCGTGAGAACTAAGTTCCCGAAAATCCCTAAGTCCCTTTAACTACTTGAACGTCCCAACGAGACAACTGGGTGAAGGCTGCGTCAAGTTCTATGGATTGAACTTGATAAACCGAAAAGATTCAAGAGGCTAACCACCTAAGGAATCGAAAAAGTTTTAAAAGAACAAAGGAGAAAACTCAGATTTTATTTGATAAGTGAATGTCAAAAATGAGAAGGGGTACAAGCCTTTATATAGCAGGCGAAGTAGTTCAAGAGACAAACTCGAAAATAACAGAAAAATTAATAAAGTCTTTGACTGAAATAAATAAACTAAGGACTGACTCTTCGGCTGGCCTTTGACTGACTCTTGAATTGCCAAGCCGAAAATGACTCTTGCTCTGTCGACCCATGAACCAGACCGCAAACCAACCTAGGTCGAGAGATGGGCAATGAACTTAACCTCATTAAAACCCCATCCGGTAAACCCATTGGGACAAACCCGGGTGTAAGGAAAAAGAGTATTAAGCCATCACCCGGACCAGATTAGTTACAGCCGGCGTTCATGAGCACGGTCAAAATCTTAGGTGATGCTGGGTCGCCTGGTCCGATTTTAATTCCATTAAGTACAGCCTGAACCGTCCCTGCCAGCTTCTTAGCTCTGGATCGCGTCATAGGTCCATCCGGTACGGCCAACTGTGCTTCCGGAACCTCGATTCCATTGTCTGGGTCGTCCTCTGGGTCCATGATCGTATCATCCTCCTCCTCTTGAAAAGGACTTGTCCTCAAGTCTGGTCCATCTGCGACAAAGGGAATGAGGTCAGAAATGTTGAAGCTGGTACTGACTAAGTACTTACCTCGTAAGTCAATCTTGTAGGCATTGTCATTGATCCGCTCAAGGACCGTAAAGGGACCATCCACACGAGGCAATAACTTGGACTTTCTTTCCTCCGGAAACCTGTCCTTCCTCAAATAGATCCATACTAGATCGCCTGGTTCAAACACCTTTTGGCGCTGGCCCTTGTTAGCGTGCTTCTTGTAAAACTCGGTCTTTCTTTCAATGTTCTGCTTGGCCTTCTCATGAATCTGCTTGACAAGCTCGGCCTTTTTCTTCCCATCCATACTTACACGCTCAGACAAAGGTAAAGGCGTAAGATCAAGAGGAGTAAGTGGGTTAAATCCATAAACCATTTGAAATGGGGAAAACAATGTAGTAGAATGAACCTCATGGTTATAAGCAAATTCTACATGTGGTAGACAATCTTCCCACGTCCTAAGGTTCTTTTTAATAACAGAACGAAGTAGTGCGGACAAGGTTCTATTAACGACCTCGGTTTGGCCGTCGGTCTGTGGGTGGTAAGTGGTGGAAAAACATAACTTAGTACCTAGTTTTGACCAAAGTGTTTTCCAAAAATAACTAAGGAATTTAACATCGCGGTCAGAAACTATAGTCCTAGGTATTCCGTGCATCCTAACCACTTCTCTAAAGAACAAGTCAGCCACATTAGACGCATCATCAGTTTTATAACAAGGTATAAAGTGCGCCATTTTTGAGAACCTATCGACCACAACAAAGACAGAATCCCGACCCGTCCTAGTTCTTGGCAATCCTAACACAAAATCCATAGAAATGTCCGTCCAAGGAGAGCTAGGAATGGGTAAGGGAGTGTACATACCTGGGGACTGGCTTTTAGATTTCGCATACTTACAGGTGATGCATCGGCCGCAAATTCTTTCCACATCTCTTTTCATGTGCGGCCAGAAGAAATGATCCTGGACCACACTAAGAGTCTTGGCCACTCCAAAGTGTCCCATCAAACCGCCGCCATGAGCTTCCCTAACAAGCAGATAACGAAGGGAAACATTAGGTATACAAAGGCAGTTTTCATAAAACAAGAAGTCATCACTCCGAAAATATTTTCCAGTGGCAAATTTAGAACAGGATTGATAAACTTCCTGGAAATCTGGATCGGAGGTGTAGGCTTCTTTGATCATTTCAAAACCGAGGACCTTGGCGTCTAAGGTCGAGATCAGGGTGTGTCTGCGGGACAAGGCGTCGGCCACAACGTTTTCCTTTCCCTGTTTGTATTGGATCACGTACGGAAACGTTTCAATAAACTCCACCCATCTGGCATGCCGCTTATTCAGTTTCTGCTGTCCCTTGAGGTGTTTAAGAGATTGATGATCCGTATGAATCACAAACTCTTTTGGCCAAAGGTAGTGTTGCCAGGTTTAGAGCGCACGGACCAAGGCGTAAAGCTCCTTGTCGTAGGTGGGATAGTTCAAGGTCGCGCCACCAAGCTTCTCACTGAAGTAGGCAATAGGTCGTTTCTCCTGCATTAGGACCGCACCAATACATACACCAGAGGCATCGCACTCAATTTCAAAGGTTTTCATAAAATCAGGCAAAGAAAGGAGAGGTGCATGAGTTAGCCTGTTTTTAAGGAGTTGGAACGCCTTTTCTTGTGTCGTGCCCCATTTAAACCAACGTCCTTTTTGATTATTTCGGTGAGAGGCGCTGCTATAGTACTGAAGTCCTTTACAAACCGTCGGTAGAAACCGGCCAGGCCGTGAAAGCTTTGGACCTCTCCAACCGTCTTGGGACTGGGCCAGTCTTTGATCGCCTTGATCTTCTCTTCGTCGACCTGGATCACATTGGCACCTACAACAAAACCTAGGAACACAACACTATCCGCGCGAAAAGTACACTTTTTCAAGTTCCCAAACAATTGCTCCTTCCTAAGCACTTCTAAGACTAACCGCAAATGCTCTAAGTGCTCGGCCAAGTTCTTGCTATAGACTAAGATATCGTCAAAGTACACAACGACAAAAACGCCTATGAACGACCGCAAGACATGATTCATAAGTCTCATGAAAGTGCTAGGGGCGTTGGTTAAGCCAAACGGCATTACCAACCATTCATAAAGCCCATGCTTTGTCTTAAAGGCTGTTTTCCATTCGTCCCCCTCTTTCATCCTTATTTGGTGATAGCCACTTTTCAAATCTATCTTAGAAAAAAGACAAGATCCGTGAAGTTCATCAAGCATATCATCCAAACGAGGAATGAGATGTCTGTATTTTACCATAATATTGTTGATTGCACGACAGTCAACGCACATACGCCAAGTGCCGTCCTTCTTTGGCACAAGTAAGACCGAGACCGCGCAAGGACTCATACTCTCTCGTATATGTCCTTTTTCCATCAGCTCTCCGACCTGCCGCTGTAGTTCCATTGTTTCAACAGGGTTGGTTCGATACGCGGGTCGGTTTGGCAAGGACGCACCAGGAACAAAATCGATCTAATGTTCTATTCCGCGGATGGGAGGTAATCCACTTGGGCTTTCTTCTCGAAAGACGTCTTTGTATTCCTGCAAAAGAGGCAAAACGCTGCTCGGAAGATCCGGCTCACGGTCAGTAATCTGACCTGGGCTTAGCGTCAGATCGGGATGGGTAGCTCGGCTTATCTGTAGGTCGCGAACTGGAACCATATGCGGGTCGGTTGGTGCCTTTGCGTTTCAGCTGTTGTTCCACTAGGACCGCTTTGTGGTACATCTCTCCAATGTCCCGATAGTCCTGCAGCTCCATACGGTCTTGTATATCACGGTTGAGGCCACTCAAGAACCGGGCCATTGTCGCATCCTCCGGTTCTACCGTATCGGCTTTCAGCATTAGCCGATCCATCTCTTGGTAATACTCCTCAACATTCTTGGATCCCTGGGTCAAACGTCTGAGTCGAGTGTGCAACTCCCGATGGTAGTGGCTTGGTACGAATCTGCGTCTCATCATTCGTGCCATCTCGTCCCAAGTTTCGATCGGTCGGTCGCCGTTCCTTCTCCGGTTGGTAACAACTTGGTCCCACCAGTCTACCGCGTATCCATGGAACTCGGTGGCGGCCAAATTGATCTTTTTTCTTTCTGAGAAGTTCTGACAACCAAACAAAATGTCGATCTTCTTTTCCCACTCAAGAAACGCGTCTGGATCGGTTGTACCTTAGAAAGATGGAACCTCACCTTCATGCTTCCAAGGTCATTGTTGTTTCGGGCTTGGACTGGTTCAGGTTCGTATTGTCCCCGGCCTTGATCATTACGGTCTTGTCGAATCTCCTCCCGGTTACGGCCGCGGTTTGGATCTGGGTTGTATCGCTCACGACCATGGTTCGGCAAAGGGTTTTGACCGCGTCTATCTTCTCGGCCGCGTCTGGGTCGTACCTGACTACCACCCGAGGTATGACCGTCAGCGTAGAATGGGTTGTCTCCGACAAACTCATTCTGGTTATGATTTCTCTCCCTCCGGATTGGGTCCTCCTGGTCACTACGATCAGCTCCTCTGTCCCGCCTAGGCTGATCCACTTCCAACCATTCTATACGCTGGTTCATGTGATCCAGCAGCTGAGTAATCTGGTCCAGCCTATGGTTCATAGTGACTTTTCTTACTTCTTTTGACCGAATAGAGGATAGATCGTCGCTAGAAGACATATAATACCTCGCAAAACAAACAAATAAGTTAGTAAAAGTTCTCGCTAAGTGTTTCACTCGGTGTTTCACTCAACCCTCTTAATGATCTCACAAACACTCAAGAGAATCTCCTCGGTTCTAAGAGAACTAAATCAAAAACTCGATGTAGATCTTTAATCCAATTCAGAATATCAAGTGATTATGAAGAAAAGAGAAGATAGAGAGAAAAGATTTTTTTTTTTTTTTGGTTTCCACAGATCTTTTTTTTTGTGTTCTTCTTTTTTTTTTTTAAACAGATCTGGAATTACAAAAGAAAGAAAGGATAAGACGGAATTTGAAAAGACAAAAAGATAGATAATATCGCTTTCTTCAAGTGCGTGGCTCTGATACCACTTGATACGAATTCCCAAAGAACGGCACACACTTGGTCGGTATCGGATGGATAGATCCTTTACTCCAAACGGTTTCACGGAGAAGATGCTAAGGGGTGGGTTGAAACCCGAAGATCCTTAGGCCCAAACTCGCGGTGAAAGGCTTGAAACAAGGGGGTGACTAAGCTGGCTGATTGGATCCGCGGAAAAAGGATGTTAAGGCGTGAGAACTAAGTTCCCGAAAATCCCTAAGCCCCTTTAACTACTTGAACGTCCCAACGAGACAACTGGGTGAAGGCTGCGTCAAGTTCTATGGATTGAACTTGATAAACCGAAAAGATTCAAGAGGCTAACCACCTAAGGAATCGAAAAAGTTCTAAAAGAACAAAGGAGAAAACTCAGATTTTATTTGATAAGTGGATGTCGAAAATGAGAAGAGGTACAAGCCTTTATATAGCAGGTGAAGTAGTTCAAGAGACAAACTCGAAAATGACAGAAAAATTAATAAAGTCTTTGACTGAAATAAATAAACTAAGGACTGACTCTTCGGCTGGCCTTTGACTGACTCTTGAATTGCCAAGCCGAAAATAACTCTTGCTCTGCCGACCCATGAACCAGACCGCAAACCAACCTAGGTCGAGAGATGGGCAATGGACTTAACCTCATTAAAACCCTACCCGGTAAACCTATTGGAACAAACCCGGGTGTAAGGAAAAAGAATATTAAGCCATCATCCGGACCAGATTAGTTACAGCCGGCGTTCATGAGCACGGTCAAAATCTTAGGTGATGCTGGGTCGCCTGGTCCGATTTTAATTCCATTAAGTACAACCTGAACCGTCTCTGCCAACTTCTTAGCTCTGAATCGCGTCATAGATCCATCTGGTACGGCCAACTGTGCTTCCAGAACCTCGATTCCATTGTCTGGGTCGTTCTCTGGGTCCATAATCGTATCAAAAGTCATTTACAACTCAGACACGTTTAACTAAATTCAGATTCAGCGATATTAGTTCAAATCACCAAACCACAAGTCTGATGAGATAAAATGACTAATTTCTTCCACCGTGCACGCATGTACATATGTAAAATTCAAAACATTCTAAAAAGTAATTAAGTAATAGCCCACATCATATTTTAAATAATTTACTTACAAATTTATTCAGTGAATATCAACCAATAAAATGTAATATATACAGCGAAAAGTTTTATAAAGTAGAGGAATCTTTTTCTTATTTATTAAAATAACTTTATTTAAGAATAACTTTAATTGGTAAATAAATAAATGGTTTCAGCGTCATCTATTCTTTATTCTCAAATCGTCATATATTAAATCCAATATGGTTATAAGATATATATTAAGTTCGCGCCATCATGCTTTGACTCGACTAAAACGACGTTTTAACGGACAAGCATACGCACATTAAACAAAAGTTTCGAACATAAATCGAAATGAAAATGAACCGAAGCATACAACAATAGAAATATAGGGCCTCATCAGGTTTCGACAATGAAGCTGAGTATTTAAGTGGATTGTGATTTAATATGGCGAGCGAAGAAGCCTTTGAGCCTCACGAAAGCGTCTTCTAGCATTGATCTCTCTACTCCAATCGAGAATCTCACCCAATTCTTCATTCCTAATACCTCTCCTGCATTTAATATTCCTAATGAGCCCATATCTTAAAATTTATATTTATAAAACATTATAATTACTTGAAAAGATAAATTATGATTATTACCAGGTAAAAGGACGAGATTCTCCTCTTGGGCCAGTTTCATGCAGAAATCAACATCATCTGTGATGTCTTCCAAGAGTGATAGGTCCAGTTTCGTCTGCGATATATATATGTACACCTTATGTTGGGATTAATGGAATTTCGTTTATATACGGACCTTTTGTAGTGTGCCATTCATCATTATTGCCGTTTTTGGTTACATTTTATAAAAACAAAATAATGCGTAAAAAATAATTGTTTAAAAACATTGCAGTAGTTAGTTTTGTTGTAAACTTGTAATACCTCTCTTATCTAGCATATATATAGAGATAAAGATGAGTTGGCAAAGTGCAAAAAAAAAAAAGAGAGAGAGAGAAGAAAAAAATTAAAGATACGGTGGTATAAAGAGAAATTGGTACCAGTAAGTAAGTACACGACTCGGGTTTCTTAGGGCAAATGAGGCAAGGAATTGCCTTGAGGGCATTGAACGCCATGTCTACGTTTTGACTCAGTATTGAGTTATTCATCTCAAAAAATTCTTTCTTTGTCTTCTCCAAGATGTTTGGAAGTGCAAACTTCCAATTAGACAAGGCAACACGTTAGTATTTACATCTATTACGCATAACTCTTTGCATATGTGTTTGTGTTTTTGAACATATATATATATATATATATATCATAATAAAGACAAACCTGTAGAATAGTCGATGGATCAGGACTAATGTCGAGATGCTCCTTGATGGATTCAATCACCTACATTGATACAACAAATAAATCGTATTATATATATATATATATAGATATATATATATATATATATATGTTGAAATCCAAAAAAGCTTTTGGTCTGGACCAATAAAAACTTGATGATGGTCTAAAGATTAAAGACCAACCCCAGTGGTTTTGAAAATGTTATTGGGATCATTCATCGCGATCCAACCTATTCGCCACCCAGGGACGAGCCATCCCTTGGAGATGGACCCAAGTGTAACCACAGGAGCAATCAATGCAAATATCCCCATTGGGACAAATGGATTCTCTCCATATATAGTTTGATTATAAACTTCATCAGAAATAATCAATATCCCTAGCTTCTTCGCCATCTCAGCCACCTATACATATCAACATAATGTTACATAAACAAGAGTCAAGTTCAAAAGAAAAATTAGCTTAAAGTTAGAGATTTTCACCTTCTTTAGATGATCATATGTGTAGACATTTCCACATGGGTTATGAGGGTTAGTTATGACCATAGCGACTGTATTATCATCTGCTATGGATTCAACGCCTTGGAGATCGATCTCCCAGTCTTGGTCGGGGAGGAGATTGTACTTGCGAATCTCGACTAGGCTATGTATTGCGTGACTATGGTAAAGAGGATAGACGAGACTAGGGAGCAAGATATTGGCCTTTGGTCCGGAGAGGGCTTGAATCATGGTCTCTATCCCTTGGCAACACCCGACCGTTATAAATATATCGTCTGATTTCATCTTATGCGGAAGGTCCTGGTTCAAATATTTAGCCACCGCCCTATAGTACAAGGAGTATACAAACAGTCGTAGAGATTATACATAGTTTCGAATATGTATAGCGTGCATATAGTGTGATATTTCATAAAGCGTTTGAATCTTATAGCCTAAACTACACATTATTTCCGTAATAGGATTAACATTTCAGTTATTGATGTTTTCTCTTTTCAAATTTGCACCCTTCATTTCACTTGTCTAACTGATAGGATTGATCTTTTAAAAAATTGAACATAAATGTTTGGTGTGCTCTAAGTTCCTCGACTTTCAATAACTGAGTAAGTCACGATACCCAAGTTTGAGATTTAATTGTTTACAAAAATAAAATTCGGCAGAGTGAAAACGAAATTTTGAAAAGCCAATTTATGACCAAATTCTCTTACAGACTGCACTATAATTAACTCATTAGGACTGAGTTAGATTAAACATCTGTTCTCAATAACATTACTTATGTGGAAAACCGTGCACAAACACAAAACATAGTAACGATGCATTTTCAAAATCTCAAAAATAAGGCTAGGAAAAATTGAACTCCGAAGTTCCCAGATCCGATCTGGCTCTTAGTCTTAGATATACTTTATTTTAATTTTTATATGATATTTCAATTGTATAAATTAATTTAAATAATTTCATATTATTATTTTAATAAATTTTCGAATACTGCCCATATTATTATGATCCGAATCCGGATACAATGAAATTCTAGGATATCTAATCTATGCCCGTCCTACTATAAAAATAAAGATAAAAAACATCTCTACACTAATCAAATAATAAGAGTACCTTCTGGCTGGTAAAATACCAACCCCGGGGGCGTAGGAGTTGGCGGCGCCAGAGCGTAAGGACTCAACCACGGCATTCTCAGCCTCAACAGACGTCTGGAAGCAAGGGTAGACAGAAGGGTCGCCGTGACCCAAGGGCAAAATGGTCTTTATATCATCTTTGCTGCAGTTGTTGAATAACCTGGCAAGGGTACCTTTCATTGAGACGCTGGCCGCTTCCTTGGCCGCACTGTTGCCTTTAAACCTCCAGGCACCGCAACCACCGGTCAGCGTCTGCGTCTCCGTCTTGTGTTCAACTTCTTCGTCTTGGTCAGTTTTAAATGAAGGAACGAACAGATTCATGTGTTGGCTCATCGTTCTGAGTCCGAGAATACTTGGACGGAGTTTCAAAATGAGATAAGGTATTGTTATGAAGTTATGATACTACAGTTCAGCACTACATATATAAACAAACCATATATTATGGTCTGTCCCTTTCTACTTTGAGGATAACATGATACGAGGAAACTAAATAAAATTTAGGACCACAACAATTTAGAGTTGGACCATATAATATTTTATTTATTTGGTGACCAATAAACGTGGTTGGTTATGTGATGCCAAAAAATATCATCGAATCTATACACTATTATATAGTCCAAATGTATATGATATACATTTGACAACAAAATAATTTTTGCCATCACTACCCCATTATTGTCCAACTTGTCTACTTGTTATGTTTTTACCAAAAATTGTCAATTATCTATTCTCAAGGAGCCGGTTTCAAATGTTTTGCCTTCAACGTCTTCCTCTTGGCCAGTTTCAAACGAAGGAATGAGCAGGTAGTTCATGTGTTGGCTCATCGCTCCGATCAGATTTATTCCTCTTGATGAGTTTGTTTATATTTTTGACAGCGGAATCAATCTCATACGAAACCATGAATTAGATTAACATTTATATATATAAGAATAGAATATACATAATCAATGGTACATCTCTTCTATGTTCTTGATACTTGATATGGGGTGTTTATAATTCTTGTTTTTAGTTCTTTATTTTAAGAACGAAGTGTCGTTTTGTCACAATGGAACGATTTAAGAGATCAAAAAAGGATATTAACAGATCCACAATAAAAAAAAGGATATTAACAGATCCACGATTGGTCTGTCCATTTGACGTTACGAGGAACATTGATAGCTCTCATTTATATCGTATTCTGGATACTCTTTTCATATTTATTTAATTGTCATTTTAAGATTATGCACACATATTAAGAAAATATTAATTGTATTAATTTTTCAATATAAAAACATCATTAATAATTTATTTAAATACAATTCAACCAATAATAAAATAAATTGCATAATAAAAATAATTATAAAAAATAAAAAACTAATAAATGTTTCATTGAAAACTGAAAACAACAACTAATTTAAAACAAACAAAATTCTCTAAAACGATAATTAATAAAAAACGGAGGGAGTATGTTAAATCCTTGTTTTTAGATTATTTTTACAGCCTAATTAAAATATTATCACTTCTAAAATTAGTGGATGTTCATAAAAAAAATTCCTGTTAAATAAAGAATATTATTCTCATAAACTTCCGTTTACAAATTGGAAAAACAGATTTTATATATGTCTTGGGGACGTCAAAATTTACACAACACAATTACTCAATTTGTGATATGTTCTTATGCACCTTAAAACTCAGAATATGTGAATTTGTTTAAGAGATTACCAATTTTTATATTAATAAAAATTAGTCGTATACAATTGCAGATTAACACAAAAAAAAAATGGAAAGTGGCATGCATTACCGAATAATTTTGGTCAAACTATCGCACAAATTGACACCTGCAAATTTTCCAATTTATGTTCTCCTTAACCATGACATCCTTTAGTCATCAAATTACCAAAACAACATTAGTTGAGAAAGTTAAATCTAGAATTATTCTAATTAAATATTAAATCCGGCCCACCGGTCCATTTGAATAGATGAAACCTTATTACGTAGATATAGTATAACCTTGTCGCCTCAGTCAATATTTACATATCTTAAAAACAAATGGATTACTCAGTATTTACTTTGTTTGCTTTGTGAAGAAAACATGTAAAAAATAATATATTACATCTTATGGGAAACCTCATAACTGGTTTTACAGACACAGCTTGAAAAAATATATATATATCTCTATTTTGCAAACTTAATGTCTAATTTATAGACAAAAGCATTTATGATTAAAAAGAAGAGGAAGAGACTAGTGGAACTTTACAATGATACATGAGATGTCGTCTTTGCTCTTCTTAGATATAGCTTCCTCTATCAAGTGCTTTGCCGCTGCCTGCGGATCTTTGATGCTCTTTATCGCATCAACAGCTTCTTGGTTCGACATTACCTGCAGTTAAACATGGACCAATCATGTTAGAACAAGTCCAGAAACCGGTCAAAACCGCGGTCTGAAAAACTGAGTTACCTTCCAAATACCATCACTGGCGAAAACGATGAACTCAATCTGATCATCAATAGCCTGTTTAGTTATGTCCGGTTCTGAGCTCAGATGTATCTTTAAGCTCTTATCTCCAAACGCTCTCGCAACTGCTAACTGTCCATCGACACGTGGAACATCCCCTGCAACACTTTAGGATCATAAATTAACATATCTGCTAATCCAAGGGAGACCAAAAACAGTAACTAATCAAGGACGAAACTATGCAGCTTTACCTGGAATATTAGATACAAAGCCACCTCGCTTCTCTATATCTTTTCTCTCCTTGCTTGGTTCATGATCCACTGAGAGCTGATGCGCAACGCCATTCTTAGACATCACTGCCCTTGAGTCTCCAACATTAGCAACCACTAGCTTTTGACCATCCATTAGAATTCCAGTCACAGCCGTTGATCCCCCTTTACCAAGCTTAAGGGACTGCTGCAATATCACTGCATCTGTTGATCTGTACGCATTCCTTATAGCGTTCTCCGTGTCAGTCCAAAAATCCTTCTGAGAAAAAAAACAAAAGGAACCCACAAATGGATCAGTCAGTATATTTCACAAAGGATTCACCTTTTTGCCTCGAAAGAGATTTCTTGACCGAATTTACCTCTTTTAGAATGTTGTCAAAGAGATTAGTCTGCAAATATTTGGCCACATCATGTCCCAAGTGACCATCAAAGATGGCAAACAAGCCCAATTCATGGCCTTCAACTTTCTTGAATTCAGACACAACATAGTCCTCCATCGGATGGCTTGATTTGCCCTTCACAAAGTGGAAACCGTGCGTAATGTTCTTCCACATCTTGCTTTTGCCTCTTCCCATGTCAGCAGTCGATCCGCATAACCCGGCCTTTAGTTGACAGTTCAGAGCAAACCAATAGAGTTAATCAATACTGCAATCACAATTAGTTGAAAGATCCAGAAACACTGTCTATCCACAGATTCTTCAAACGATATTAGAAATAAATATTAAACTCTCTCAACTTCTATAACGAATCTTGCAGATTCCTTCACATCCATGAACAAAAAAGCTCAGACTTTTAACCAGAGAACACTATCATACAGAGGGATCGAAAAAAGTTTAGACCTTTAACACAACAGAGGGATCGAAAACTACCATCTACTCACAGACTATTCAGACAGACCCAAGAAGTTGCAGAATTTTTCAGTAAAAGCTTAACAGGCAAGTCCAATTTCATTGACCAGGAAAAGCAAAGCGCTCTTGAACTTTCGATGGATCAGCTGAAAATCAATAATTTCCAAAGTATAAACCTCGAAATTGCTACTACTCACTCACTTCAAAAGCTCTGCTAAAAGAGACAGTGGTAACATTAGAGCAACTGGTTTCAGGTCCAAACAGAGAGCTAAACCCCATGGAAAAATAACCAAAAGGGTATCCGACACTAGAGCCATAAATCCTAAACCCAAAGAAAATCAGGATGTCGTTTAAAGCACAAGCCAGGAACTGGAAAAAAATCAGATCAAGTAGATGTCACCATAATCAGTACCGTACCTTCATCTTGTGTAGAATTTCTCTGCCTGCCATTCTGAGGAAGCCTTGAGAGACGATTTCTCTGTCTCTGCGTGTGAATGAGTGATGATTGAAGCAAACAAGAGGAAGGAGATGGGTTTATGAAGTTATTTTGACTTCGATGATATGAACTGCCGGTGACTGTAGTAAAACATTATCAGCTTCAGCTGCGTCGTTTCAATGCCCAACGACTTTTCTTCTTCCCATTTTAACCCCTTTTTGTTACTACTTTATTATTAAAAATAAATTAAAATTTCATTATTCTTCATGATTAGTTCTTGGAAGCCGGTTGGTCAAGCGGTTAATTACAAATTTTCAACGATACTAAATATGTTTGTCCTGATGATGTAACATATTAAAAAAAAAATTACAATTATCATTAATTTATAATACTTTACAGACTTAGCAAAATATTAAGCTAACCATTAGTTTATAAAACTATATATATAAATATATTTGTACGTCAATATTCTCAACTATCCTCCTTATTTTAATCTTTGTTTGATGAAAAATGTCGTTTTCCTTGTATTTTGTTACAATATTATGTGTACATCTTGGTTCCTAATAATTAAATGTAGCAGCCAAGGACTGCAATACTTTTTTGATATGTTTCATTTTCTTATTCTCCACAAATTCTTGTCGGCTCAGTCAATAGATTCATTTCAAAGAGTCTTCTTCGTTCCTTCCAATTCGTCCTTTGGAGAAGAAAACCCTCCACTCTTATTGTCCAAACTTTGGATCGGTTTGATTCGTCAAGCTAATAATAATAGAATCATCTACTAAAACTATTTTACTCTTCACTATTATAGATTACTTTAGTGTGATGGAAACTCAGATTGGTCATTATTTTAAAATCCCAATCAAGAGGAAAGATCTTACTATTACTCACACACATAACGCGGGGCCAAAGAGTTGGTGACTTGTCTAATCAAAGTTTTCGCCATTGACCACATATACATAAAAATAGGATTCGAAAAAGATAGTGATTAGTTTAATTACCCTATCTTGAATTCTTGATTAATTTACGTTCAAGTGAATCTAGTAATTCACCATCCAGTTTGAATCGCTAAGAGTATTATTTCACATTTAATACTATTTTAGTAGTATTTTTTAATATCATTTTCTAATAAACAAAAAAAATTATATCTATATTTTTGTACTGTTTTGTGTAATCAATCGGATATATGGACGGTCTCCAAGAATTGTGTAACTTGTGTTCTGATCTTTGAGTTAATCTTGTCAATTTGGACGACTAAAGGATCAACTTGGATAGTTGGATCATATATTAAAAGTAATTAATATAATGAAATTCGGATATGGTGGAAACGCTCGAGAGAAGTGGTGGTAGGTAAGGAGTCGTTGATAAAAAAAAAAAGGGAAATGAAAAACAAAAACTAGATTAAATGGAAAGTAGAAATTGTTGCCAGTGGCACTTTATAAATAAGCATTTAGTTTATCTTAATTAGTTGAAGGATAAAAGGAAACTAAGAAAAGAGTATAGAGAGAGATGGGTATAGGATAGAAGGAAACTAAGAAAAAGCAAAACTAGAATATTAGGAAAGTATAGGATAAAAGGAAACTCTGATCAGATAAACTGAGAGAAGCTACAATGTATATCATAAGATGCATATTAATATAGAGAGAGAGACCTATAGAACATTCAAATGTGATTCATATACAGTCACATTCGAGTCCGGATCTTGTTCGCATCTTACGCATCTTATTTTCCAAATTACCTCTAATTGCATGCATTCACATGGTCTCCCTAGCTCTTCCCTCCTCTTCTTTTTCTTCTCCAATCCCTGCAACTACATATCGCAACTTCGGTTATCTCATCGGTTAATCACGGTGTAAAAAAATTGAGAGAGAAAAAAAAAGAGCTAGAAGAATCAATTACAGTAATTGGGGACGTGAGCTTGAGAACGTTATTGAAGTGGCTCACTCCTCTGCAATACTGTGGAGAGGCCGGTCCCAGAGATGTTCTTTCAATGATGCTCTCGAACATGTCCCTACACTGCTCTTCTTCATTCCTTGAAACCGCGGATGCAATCAGGGTCATGAGCAATAGAGCACGATGCATCGTGGGTTAATTTGTAGTTAACTGATTACGACGATGTAATGACGAGTACTAGCTGCTGAAATTCGATGATCCGTGCTTCATCACACATGTATATAATATATAGTGAATTCATGATTAATTAGTTTACATGTGGGTTAATTAAACGATATATGGTTTGTTTTGGGAAACATGTAAAGCTCGTGCTTCCTTCGTAAGTATTCATACAATTTGTATATGTTGATTTGTTAGACGGGCCTAACCAGTTTTCATGGCACATAATGCTCGAGGGGTCTCCACTGCGTTATATATGTCTGATATTTATGTTATCCCCGAAAACTTTTTTCTAGTCGTAATAATTAATAACCACCACCACTAAAATGGCCCCAGTAACATTTTTCGTAATCACTTGGTCCAAAGTGTATTTGTATGAAATTATTCTCTTAAGTATATATTTTTTGGGTCAAACTATATCTAAAGTTTATTTATTGTTTTCAAATAAATCACCACTAGGTCTGGTAAGGTCGAAGCCAAATTCGGGTATTTCCGGTAATTGTGGACAAGATTAGGTAATTTGAGATATATAATTACCTAATTTTATAATGAAACCATCATTTGTAAAAAATTTAACTAACAACCTGGAGACTTGAGTAATTAACCCCAAAAAACTTCAACTCGTATATTTATCCACTGAAATAGATTATCTCAACTCGAAAAAGTAGTTCCAAACTGAGTTCATGTAGTTTAGGGAGTAGAATTAGTCTTCTCGGATTAGTTCATGTAATACCGGGAGTACGAATAAAGTTGGATAAAGACCCGAAATGTACATACAGTAGAACCTCTATAAATTAATACTCGATAAATTAATAATCACTATAAATTAATAAATTTTTTTGGTCCCTAATTGGGAACAGTGTAAAAATCCATCAAATTCGATAAAATAATAAAATAATAATATTTTTTGAAACTCCGATATAAATATATGGTCCCAACAAAAATATAAATTAATAATTATATAAATATACAAATATATATATATTATTCTAAAATATGAATAATGTGTTTACTTTTACTTAAAGTTGAAATTTTATTGGTGTTCATCTGTTTGTTTATTACATCTCTATCTCTTATTGTTTTTTTTCAATATTCATTCAAATTTGTGAAGAATTTTTGATATAATAATTAGGTTTCTTACACGTAAATATCTATAAATGTATTGTAGTATTGTCTTCATTTTCATATTTTTGATAATAGCCATGATTTCTTATAAATTTTGAATTTTTAAACATGTATATTTTTAATAGACAAATTAATATTCTATTAAAAACTATTTTGTTATGATAACTATATTTATTAATCATAATTTTTATTAAGTTATTCTCTTAAGTTCTTAAATACAATATTATTCAAATTTTTTTTAAAAAAGTTATAGACAAAAACTAGATTATCTCTATAAATTAATAATTTATTAATTTATAAATAAATTAATATCACGATAAATTAATAAAATTTCATGGTCCCAACATTATTAATTTATAGAGGTTTTACTGTACTTCGTTAAGTTCTATGATATTTGTTTTTCCACAACAACTGCTACTAGAAGAACTAAGAAGTAGAAGCCAGCTGATAAATATACATATATAATGGCTTAGAGAAACATTTTGCTTGCTTTTGTAACACTAGTCACTAATTAATACAATATACTCGATTATATATCATACATAGCTATTACAAAGTCTTCCCTTTAAAATACATATATTCATACATATTACAACTCTTCCCTTTCCAATATTTATATATACTTATAAGCTAATTTAATTTTCCAGCGTCGATAACCTTCGCGTTTCTGAACCTGTAACGAAAAAAATACCACTTAATTAGATTAGTTCTTTTTCACATAGGAATAAATGTAACAAATGACATTTTTAGGTTAAAAATAGGAGGAAAAAAAATAAACGATGGGGGAGAGGGAGAGTGAAAATAACTGAGAACAGTCCATTGCAACGGAGATGGGAAAGCTGAGAGTAAGAGAACAAAGGAGAGGAATATTGTTAATGGCAGGAGGCAGAAAAGGAAGATGATCTGCTCTTCCCATTATCTCTATGCAATTACACACTCTCTCTATCTCTCCATTCCCCTGCTTGTTCTTCCTCGATCCCTGCTTAATATTATTAACCTAGGTTAATTAGGCTTACCGGTCTAATCAATAATCAATGGTGAAAAGAACCCGAAAATTAGAAGGAAAAAAATCGAAAAATGGAAAAACCGAGAAAAGAGTAGTTAACTGGAGGAGTGAACTTGACAATGTTGTTCAAGTGGGTCACGCCTGTACAGCATTGCGGAGAAGGTTGCTGGAATATTCCCTCGACGAAGCCCATGCACGGCATGAAACTATCGAACACGTCCCTACACTGCTCTATCATAAGGTCCGAAACCGTGGTCTTAATCAGGGCCAAGAGTGTCACGAGCAATATGGCACGGTGCATCTTAATTTTTTGTTCTCTTTAACTGCTTACAATATTGAACTAAGGTGAGATGATTCGTGTGTGATCACAAATCGATATAGTTGTCAATTAGTTTATATATATGGTAAAGTTTACTATGCATGGTTAGTTTAGCGAACACATGTAATTCTCACCCCTCCTTCTAAATCGGATTAATTCTAGCCGAGTTCTCTTTCAGTTATCTTGAATTTATTAAAATTATCTTTATGTGATTTCTTATATACATCTATACTCTATAGGCTAATTGCGTGTAAGGATATAATTTTATCGCATGCCATATGAGTGACATGCATGCGTCTTGTGTTTATCTAACACATGTGCCGATATCATTGCCTATACTTTGGTCTCTTTCAATACGTATGTTATGGAGAGTACGTAGAACGTTTCTGAGTTACTATCCAACCAGTTTTGGATTACCTTCTTGCTTCTTAAATAACATAAATTTTGTAGACCTAATTAACGATTTTTATTGTTTTTAGCACACCAAAAAAGTCTTGATTATCCTATTTTAAATTTTCAGGCATTGGGGCATGATGATCAACACTTACAGCCTAAGATTCATCCCTGTCCAATGATTCAAAGTACATTGCCTCAAAGTCTGTTGGTTCCAGACATGACATTTATGTTTTATATATATGAGATTTATAAAACAAACTTGGTTATGGAGACAAAAAGTATATATTTTGCCGCAAGTGTTTTTCTTGAGAAATAAATATTTAAAGATCGTTTATTTTATTAAAAAAATAGTATATTTTACTAGAAAAATAATTTATCAAGTTATTTTCTACCCAAGAAACTGTTAGTTTCTCTACCCAAAAAACTCTAATCAAAATGAGTACTAGAAGACAAAAACCCAAAGTAGATAAACATAAAATAATCTTCAGGACTCTGGGTTCCTTAAAATGGGCCCAGAAGGAAACGTGTCAAAGGAGCAAAGTAACATTTTTCGTAATTTTAGATTTTATCTTCTGACCATTTTTTCCATCTTTTCACATAGGACATTTTAGAACCCTACGGTTCTCGTCTCTTACAAGAATTTTGTTACGCTTCGGAGAGGAATCTTCGGTAAGCTTCCATGAATTTTCACTCGACTCCACTTATTCTAGCTTTACCATTTGACACTTCTCTTAGTTTAAGGGTTTTCTTTCAATAATTGTTCTGCATGCTCGTGAATTCTGTTTTCCTATGCTACTCGCCGCTTGATCTTAGTGAAAGAATAGTCTCGTTTGAGGAGCTGCAAGTAGGTTTCCAAGTGTGCTTGTATTTTGGAATCATGACTGGTCTAGTGAACTTGTGGCTTTAAACCGAAGATAGTAGGATCTTATGCGTTGCAATGAATGGATTGATTGCTGTTCTGTTCTTTGTCATCGTCCTTCTAAGCATTCAAGTATAGAAATGTCGAGAGAGCGAGAAATTTTGTGTTTAATTAGTAGTTTTGCTGCTTTGCAGATCATCTTTTGCTGAGTTTTACAGTAAAAACAAAAATGGATGGATCAAGGCATCCGTCGGTGTTTCAGAAGCTTCATGGACAATCAACCTTGATAAATAGACTTTCTCCGAGCGTGCAAACTTATAGTTACGGCGTCTCTGGTGCTTATGTTAATGGAGGTCTGCAGAGTCTATTACAGTCAAGTAATCATGGCATTGGCTCTTCTCTTCTACCACATGGTTCGTTGCCTGTATTTGCTCAAGCCCCTAGCGAGAAAACCGGTACTGGTTTCTTGATCGATTTCCTTATGGGAGGAGTCTCAGCTGCTGTTTCAAAGACGGCAGCAGCGCCGATTGAGCGTGTGAAGCTCTTGATTCAGAACCAAGATGAAATGATCAAAGCAGGACGTCTCTCTGAACCATACAAAGGAATCACTGATTGTTTTGGCCGAACAGTCAAAGACGAAGGCATGATTGCACTTTGGAGAGGCAACACTGCCAATGTTATCAGATACTTCCCCACGCAGGTTAGCTTTTTTCTTCTCTTCCAAGTTGGTGTTTGTATAGACGTTGAGATGAGTGTGCTAAGCAAAAGATTTCTCTGTTTTTCAGGCGTTGAACTTTGCGTTCAAAGATTACTTTAAGAGGCTGTTCAACTTCAAGAAAGACAAAGATGGATATTGGAAGTGGTTTGCAGGGAACTTGGCGTCTGGTGGTGCAGCTGGTGCCTCGTCTCTGCTTTTTGTCTACTCTTTGGATTACGCTCGTACCCGTTTGGCCAACGATGCCAAAGCGGCCAAGAAAGGTGGCCAGAGGCAGTTTAATGGCATAGTTGACGTTTACAAGAAGACCATAGCTTCTGATGGCATTGTTGGGCTGTACCGTGGTTTCAACATCTCATGTGTTGGAATTATCGTGTACCGTGGACTCTACTTTGGATTGTATGACTCATTGAAGCCTGTGGTTCTAGTCGATGGTCTCCAGGTACAAAAAACAAAGAAAAACTTTTTACTTCAACATATTGAGAGTCCTCTGTTGCTGTTTACTCATTGGTTTTAAGCTGTACACAGGATAACTTCTTTGCGAGTTTCTTGTTGGGGTGGGGAATCACCATTGGAGCTGGGCTAGCATCTTACCCGATCGACACGGTGCGTAGAAGAATGATGATGACATCAGGTGAAGCAGTGAAGTACAAGAGTTCTCTTCAGGCATTTTCTCAGATCGTTAAGAAGGAAGGGGCCAAGTCACTTTTCAAGGGTGCAGGTGCCAACATCCTCCGTGCAGTCGCAGGCGCTGGTGTGCTCGCTGGCTATGACAAGCTCCAGCTCATTGTGTTGGGCAAGACCTATGGCTCTGGTAGTGGCTAAACAACGATAATAGAAAGAAAAGTCCTTGAGCTCTATGGGTGAATAAATCTCTCTGCCTTCGTACAAATGTTGCTATTAGAATATCGAGTGTACTCTGTGTGAAGTTGTGGCTTTTGTCTTAGTTATGTGACATTTTTCAGACAAAAAAATGATCACTGGATAAATAATGTTAGTTTGTGTTTATCTTGTTTTTTTATTAAATATTTTTTTTAAGCAGGGTACAGTAAAGTTTGTATCAAGATTGGGTTTCCTTGGGTTGTAAGCGAATGAGCGATCAAAATCCAACCCTAAGAATTTGGTCTTCAAGTGTCGGTCTCAGATCCCACTTCAAACCACTCCAGACAGCTACAGGCAAGGAGATGAGTCCCTTTCCTTGATTTTATGCCACTACTTGATTCTTCCTCTGTAATCTTTGCAGCAAAGACTGAAACTTAAAATCGCCTCTATATATAAATCGATACTCTCCTCTCAGTTCTTCTTACACTTGAAACACAGGATCCATAAGTTGTCTGTCAATGGCTCTCTCTCTTACATTTCATACTCTCCTCTCAGTTCTTCTTTTTCATGTCTCTTTAGTATCAACCGCAAAGCATAGCCTTCACCACCACACAACTCACTCCCCAAACCATAACCAGCATCTTCAGCAAGCGTACCGTGCACTTAAAGCATGGAAGAAGGTCATCTACTCCGATCCAAAGAACTTGACTGGAGACTGGGTCGGTCCCTCAGTCTGCAGCTACACTGGCATCTTCTGTGCCCCATCCCCTTCCGATCCAAACACTCTAGTTGTTGCCGGAATCGATCTCAACCACGGAGACATCGCTGGTTTCCTTCCTGAACCCATTGGCCTTCTCTCTCACCTTGCTCTCATCCATCTCAATAGCAATCGCTTCTGCGGCATCCTTCCTCGTTCATTGGCCAATCTATCGTTGCTCTATGAGCTCGACCTCAGCAACAACCGCCTTGTAGGCCCTTTTCCTGACGTCGTCCTCTCACTCCCTTCTCTGAAGTACCTTGACCTTCGTTACAATGAGTTCGAAGGCCCTTTGCCTCCTAAACTCTTCAGCAATCCTCTCGACGCCATTTTTGTGAACAACAACAGGTTAACAAGCCTCATACCACGAGATTTCAGTGGAACAACCGCCTCTGTTGTCGTCTTTGCCAACAATGATTTCAGCGGTTGTCTGCCTCCAACCATATCTCGCTTTGCAGATACCTTGGAAGAGCTTCTCCTAATCAACTCAAGCTTGTCTGGTTGTCTACCCCCTGAAGTCGGGTATCTCTACAAGTTAAGAGTCCTTGACATGAGCTACAACAGTTTAATTGGTCCTGTACCTTACAGTCTTGCCGGGCTAGGCCATCTTGAGCTGCTGAATCTGGAACACAACATGTTCACTGGCACTCTCCCTCTTGGAGTCTGCGTACTGCCCAGCCTGCTGAACCTTACCATCTCGGACAACTATTTCTATGAAGAAGAAGGCATCTGCACGAACCTGACTTCCAGAGGAATAGCCTTTGATGATCGCTACAACTGTCTGCCTAACAAACCGCTCCAGCGGAGCCAAAAAGTCTGTGAAGCTGTACTTGACCATCCCGTAGACTGCCATGACCACGAATGCTCAGCCATGGCTCCTACGGTTGCTCCGTCGACCGCAGGACCTGCCATTTCTCCTGGTCCAGCCTACGCATAAGGATTCACTCATATGCCGCATAGAAAATAGAAGAACAAGAAATGTGCGAAAGATTGGGTTGTGGGGTGAAAGAATATGCACTAAGATAGTAACATTATACAGTTTATACAGAACATAACATCTATCCGCGATTATAGATTCCTTCTTTGCTCTGCTTTCGTCTATAAATCTTCTACACCTCTTCAAGGACCTTAAACCAAAGAACAGGTCCCACCTGTTTCAGCGTCAAATTATGCAGCAGTTAACTTCGTGAGTTTCTGCACATATTCCAGTAATGTTATACAAATAACTGTAACAACCCACAATTATTTCAGAGTTCAGACAGAACAGGAAAAGACAAACCTGAAAAACGCATGACAAAACACTCAAAAAGAACTATGGTTCTTCATAGCCCAGCCGATTACAGACTCAGGTATTATTATCCGGAATTCTCATTTACAAATCACATTCAAGTTTGAAAACAATAAATTCAGACAGAACCAAGACCCTATCTACAAAAACTATTAGGCAAAAAAACTTCCAAGGACAGGAAAAAATGAAACTTTTAGATTTTGAAAGTTAGATTTGAGCTGTTACCTGCAATTAAACTGAGTGAAGTCGGTAACATCCTAACAAAGCAGAAAAAAAAATCCTCTATGCTGGAGGAAGCGAACGCCGACAAGTTGGGCATTCCATTTTTATATCCATCCATCGTTGTAAGCATCCGGAGTGGAAGAAATGTTCACATGGAGTTACCTGTTTTAAGAACAAGCCCGCTCGTGATTATGTCTATTAGGGAAAATAATGTAGTTGAGAGAAGCCGATAATTGGCTTGTGGGTGAAGAAGCTGCTGTACCATGCAATCACTGGTACGCTGTCTGAGATCAATAGCGGTCATGCAGATGACACAATCAGTGGTGCGACTTACATCCTGATTAAATCTTCTGTGGTAGTTATATTTCTCTGGTAGCATCTGCATGTAGACGAAAACAATGAAGAAAGAGATGAGCGGTAGTCAGAAACAATTTAGCAATGAAAATTAACCTGAAACCGTAAAGAAAACCTTGATTTGACTTTACTAGATTGAAACGTTTCATATGTAACCTACATGGAAAAGAACAAACTAACCTGACGTGGAACAAAGCAACGTGAACCAAAATAATGCTGAAGAAGAAGAATGACAGCTTGCAAACCCAGGAATGTGCACAAGCATATGCACCAGACCTTGCTGGGCTCTACACGCATGAAGTTGTGTGGGCATCCAAAAACATATAAGGGTATAGCTAACCGTGTAGCTGTCATACCCAAGATGTAATACGGGTGCAGAGGCTTTCTTGAATCCCGGATGACATTGGTGACTATCTGTGGTATCCAAAATGAGTACATGAGGAGAAGAATCGGCCGCATGTAGTTGTGGAACTCATACATTATCAATATGCCCCCAAGAAGGATCCCATCTGTTAAAATATTGTAATAATGATCAAACATCAGCTTGAAGCTTGATACGATAAAAATACACCAAAGAACTAAATACTCACAGAAACGGCTGTACAGAAAGGACAGCTCACGCCTCATTGTTTCCCAACCTTCTCCGCTGTTGGAAGGCCGGGTTGCTTTCCATATGGCCAGAAGATATCTCATCTCAAAAATCGAAAAGACTACGAATTTGAAGAACGCAGCGGTTGCAAAAGCATTAAATAGAGATTCTGCATGAGAAAGTTGAAAGCTTTAGGTTTAACAGTGATTGAGATTTGAGAAAAATATCACAATGTCAAGTAGAAGACGGGTCAATGTGAGACAGTATCAGAAAATCCAACACAATGACTGAGTAATTCATTAAACGGGTGGGGACAGAATGATTGATGAAAACTGAAAACCAACGAACATTATCAAAATGAAGGGGAAAGAAATAGGTTAATGAGAAAAAAGAAAATTGGTATCTTTAAATGCTCAGGTACAGTTATATGGATATACTATACATACCAACTAATATCCCGGCCGTGAGATGTAAAAGGCATAAATAAGCATCCATGATCGCTTGTTGCCCAATCATTACAATAGATACCTTGGCAGCACCCTTGTATACAAGAAATATCCGGAAGTTAGTATCGTTTATATTCAATTATGTACAATAATAACAATTCAAACCATGTGGTTTACTATCTTACAGATTGTGTGTTACCGTGCTCCATTTGCCGGATCAACAAAAGAACCTGGAGGAAAGAGACCTAAAGTGCAATAAAGTTAAGGAAAGCGCTAAACTTGCAAAAGTGCTCGGCATTCTGTAATGAAAGTATAAAACGGCTTTTGAACAAAGGATACAAAAGTGACCATTAGTGTATAGTTCACAGCTTTGTTATAGTAGACTTCGACATTCACAGAAGTCGCATTCAGTAACAAAGGCGAGAAACAATCTCCATCATCGCCTACACCAGGACTTTCCATTAATCCTTCCATGTGATAATAGTTTTTGTCTCCATCTACCAAAAAATGGAAAGTCCCCCAACATACGTGACTAAGTACGCAAGGATCACCTTAATGTTTAAAGTTAGAATACATACTGTTTTCAATAGAAGCCACACGGGATATCTGAGCTGCTATTTCGATATTACAGTGCTTCTCTACCTCATTTATTGGTGCTGAAGTACAATTGATTGATTGAAGGTCAGAGTTGCTGAAAAGTAATACGTACAGAAAAATTAGGATATTCTGTCTTTTAGAAATTCTTACAAAGTTTCCGTTTCAGTATTCTGTCTCTAGGAGATTCTTGAAACACTTGAGAGGAGAAAATTCCGAGCTGTCCAACAACAAAAAGTTGACATTAGTAAGCTCTTCGAACATTTAACACAACAAGCAAGTCATTAGCAGATAAAAGATTAATCATTGCAAAACAAGAGTCTTTAAGCTTTACCATATGATAGGGATTCGATAGAAGATTATTGTCTTCTTGCCCTGGATCACTCTCCTTGCCACTGTTTAGGTCAAGTAATGCAAAGACCTTGGAGATAAGACTCAATAATGAACTTAAATGCAGTTAAATAAATCAATATACCTGTTATCCACGAGTCGGAGTTGTCTAAAGGGCCATATATATACACCTTCCAGGTTTATTTGGGCACCACCCACATTTTGTTCATTGTCAAATACGTCATGGAAAACAACTACACCCTGTTCCATTAATGTTTTGAGAAGTTCAAATACTGCATGCTATAATATCACGGACGATTCTGTGATACAGGCTTTAGAAGCTGAACTGTTCACCTGAACATAATGCACACCAGTTATCTTTGTTGGAACTGCCACTAACTCAACCACAGAATTACCATTTGCTTTCTGCAGGTCTTGAAACTTCGAAGAGCTATTTACGGAATCCAGATACTTCCAGTTTCCTAAAACATAAGCCAACAGACAATCCTCAAGTGGCCAGAAGTAGAAAAACGAAGAAAGACATGCCACAAACCTCTATATGTTCCTGTTATGTTCCATGCAGAAAACGGTCCTACTTCAGTTACTTGCTTTCTACCAAAGAGCCACTGCAAGATCACCAAAATCTCAGGAATTAAACAATCACCCAGACATCACGTAAGGTACTATTATCCTCTTCACTTTGCACATTTTGCAAAAATTCACTAACAATACATACTCAAACTACAAATCTCATCCTAGATTCCCAATTTCCATGGGTTTTACATCTACAAAACTAACCGGTCTCTACATGGACGCCATTACTGGATCACCACGCTAAAGACAGATTCGTTCTTACACACCTCACGGTATTCACAGGCAGAACAAAGCTAAATTAGATAATTTAAAAACAAAATTCAACTTGCTCAACCAAAAGATGAAAACATAGACCGAAGCTACGCTACTCCTGAAATTTTCATTCGATATGGTCAATGTCGCGATATCATTTGACTCTTGATCATCTAAATATTGCTAAGAATTATCTTCAATAAAGCAGAAAACTCTCAAAATTTAGCTAAGTCATCAATTCCGACAAATCATTCAGCAGCAGAAACAAGTCAATGAACACATTTCCCAGCAAACTAGTCGGATTCTTAGCTTGGATAAATCAGGTCAAAATCAAACTTACGAATCAAAATCATAAATTTGTTTCTGGGAAACATAAGATTGACCGAAATGAAGAAAATTTTCAAGAAATCATGAATTTTTACAACACAAACCTCGTCGCTCCATGATCGAGTTTTCTCCCTTATGGGTCTAAGCCCAGCCGCTTGTTGCGAAACCGCCAACAAAATCGATAACCAGAAGATAATCTGCTTCTCGAACCCTAATCCCAAAACCCCTAAATGCCCCCGTTTCTTCATCTCACCACAACTCCAAATTTATAACAATATCCGAGTGGATCAGAACTGTTTCGGGTTTTGTTCCGAAACGCAAGTCACTGACGAAAACAATCCGTTATTAGGGCATAGCAGACGAAGATGGAGAGAAGAGGTTAGCTCCAAGTGAAGTCAAACAAAGTAGGTTTTGGTTTTGGGTTTTGTAAGAAGATTGGTGGCTGTATCAGACAGCAGATAGAAAGATGATTACAGATAAACAACCTTCTCAAAGAGACGTGATTGAAGATTTGTATTGTATCTGCAAATTTTTTGCAACTCCAATTGAAAGTTGTTCTGCGGTCGTTGAAGCTTCACAATCAACTTCTCTCTAATTAGTAATTACCCATTGTTGAACAAGTCGAAACTTCTTTGTCTCTGGTTTTTTTTTTCTTATTAATTTTCTTATTTTTTGGTAAAGGGACTTTCTTGTTGAAATCTCGCATTCTCAGGTCTTTCTTGCGCCTAAAAAACATATTGCTTCCCAAAACAACTATTAGTTGACATAATTATTACCATAATTAATGTCTGTTGAGTAACTAGAAATGGAAATTTCCATTTCACGTTTTACGGAATTTGAGCCTGAGTGAAGTCCCTAATTCCCCACTACAAGAAAGCATATCCACTTGTAGAAAATAAAATTCTTCTACTCTTGTGTAACCTATATCTATATCAATATGGCTTTAAGAATAGTCGAAAAATGTGTTAAGATTCCTAATTTCTCATTACGTGAAAGCATATCTACTTACAGAAAATAAAGTTATTCTAATATTGTACAACTAGTTGGGCTTTAAAATTAAGAGGAGAACAGTGTATAAAAAGCCTTTTTATAACATACCCGATCCGTTTGTAAAAGCCCACTACAACTTAACTCATTGTAAGTAATTTGTATATTTTCTGGCCAGGATTAAAACTTCATAGAAGAAATTAAGAGAATACGTTTTTGCACACACACAAAAAAAAAAAAAGAGAATACGTTACGTAAGTTTAACTATTTTTAAAAAAGGGTTTCAGTTATATATAAGATGACTAACAAATAATTAGCAGATCTGATTAAAATTAAGAAATAATGATTATTTGTAAGGAGGTGGAGAAAGCGAGTGAGAAATTAAAGTTAAGTAGCCGTTAAGTCCATTGCATGTCGATACGTGTAAAAAAGAAGAAATGAGTAAAATCGAAACGCTTCTAATTAAATTGCATATCCTCTAGATAATTGATGCAGCCAAAAACTTCACCCAACGGCTATGTCTTCTCTACTTTCACCATAAATACTCGTACAAATCACCCAAGAGGCAGCAAAACACACACACACACACACAACTAAAGTGAGAAATCAAGAACTTCAGGTTTAGTTAAAATTTTGGGGATGGGGTTGGTCAAAAGGTTTGATGTTTCCTTGATGATTGTGATGTTGATGGGTTTGGGGTTTACAATAGGGTTATCAAATGGGTACAAGTTCTATGTTGGTGGGAGAGATGGTTGGGTCCTTAAACCTTCCGAGGATTATTCTCATTGGTCTCACCGAAACCGCTTTCAAGTCAACGACACTCTTTGTAAGTCTCTCTCTCACTCTAATTTTTCTATAATATATACATATTAATTTATCATTATAACTTATGATTACATCAATTGGTGCGATTTTGATTTTGTAAGATTTCAAGTATGCGAAGGGAAAAGATTCAGTGTTGGAGGTGAGTGAAGAAGAGTACAACACATGCAACACAACTCATCCCATAGCTTCCCTCTCAGACGGAGACTCTCTCTTTGTGCTTAGCCGCTCAGGTCCGTTCTTTTTCATCAGCGGCAACTCGGAAAACTGCCTCAAAGGCCAGAAGCTAGCCATCACAGTCATGTCCGCCGCCCACCACAGCCGCACTCCTCATCAGCCATCTCCCTCCCCGTCACCTTCTCTGTCTCCGGTCCAACAGGCTTCGTCGTCTCCGGCGTCTTCTCCGGGAGTGGTTCCTTCTGATTCAGAAGCTCTTGCTCCGGCTCCAGGGCCCGCGTCGGCCCGCAATTCCGCCGGTTTGGTTGGTCCGGGTGTGGTTTCTCTAGGCTTGGTTCTTGTGGTTGTCATAAGTTTTCCGGGTCATTTTTGTTTGTGAAGGTGTTAATTCCTCTAGAGTTGAGATGGGTCTAATATTAATGTGCCGTTTTATTTTGTTTGAATTTTGAAGCATTTGTGACTGTTTTATGTTTTTCCTGTCTCGTATATGTCCTAGCTAATATTTAATCATGACTTATTATATCAAATGAGTATATGTTTTCGTATTGTGTTTATAATTATGATCATGCTATTGCTCATGCACAACTTCTCCGTATGATTAATTGTTAGGTCGATATTGACATTCGTGTAAACTTGTGAATAAATCTGACTTTCATAATATTTTCAAGGAATTAATTGTTTGGCCGCTATCAAGCAATGAGCTATTCATAGTTCAGTAAACTGTGAAAGCTATTCTTAGTGAATAATTTAGATATGACAATTTTTATACCAAAAAATAAACCCTAATTAATCAACTGTAATAACTGAGGTAAATATTCAACAAAATGTAGAGTAAGAACCGGGCAAACTACAGATCTATTAACCACTAAAAACCCATTTATAAAAACCTCATATCAGTGATCAAATCATTCACTATCTCTACGACTTCTATTCAACTCTTGATGATGAATTACATTAAGCTATTGATCATCGCTATGATAATTCCGGTGGCTGCAGCTCCGATGCTGGTGAGAGCTAAGAAAGTGAACTGCGCCGGGTGGTCGGGGACTTGCATCGACGGTGGAGAATTAGAGGAGATGAGAACAATGACAGGATTTGATTTGAGCCGCAGGATTCTAAAAGCCGCAAGATATATTAGCTACAATGCGTTGAAGAAGAATAATAATGTACCGTGTAAACGACGTGGTCGTTCATATTATAATTGTGGAAAGCGCAAAAAAGCTAATCCATACAGACGAGGTTGCAGTGTCATTACACATCGTTACCGATTCGCGAGTTAATAATGTGTAAATTGTTATGACTCTTCTTTCGTTTTGTTATTTATTTATTCCGTTGCTGCTACCATGATAAATTGAAGATAAGAGATTCTTTTTTTTGTCAAGTTTTGATTGGCTATTTGACTCTTAGAAACGGTGGAAAACGCGCTGAGTCTATTAAACGTGGCAAGAAATGTGTAAAAACTGATAAGATTTTTGTGGATAGAAGGGAAAATTTAAAATGTAAAAACACACACGCTGGGGATCGAACCCACGGCCATGGGATTAAAAGTCACGCGCTCTACCACTGAGCTAAGACGGCTTTGACGAATTATGAGCTAGTAAAAATTTATTAAACAGGTCCTTTGTGCGTAATATTCCTTTTTTTTTGGTCAAAGCGAAATAGTCCATATCTTCTTCTTAAGTAATCACTGATGGATAATGGATTCCTACTGCTCTGTCCCGAAAAGCTGGTACTTGCACATCTACTCAATTTCTAGTCTATTCCATTTTACATATTTCGCATTTTATAACCTTGCAACATCACATATATATTAATGTCTCTAGTTTCTAGTATTGAACACGTTTGCATGCTCAATATTTCATAACCATACCTGAATTGATTTCAGATTCGAAATGCTCTGTTGAAAAAGGTGATACTTGCCTAAACCCTAAACCTTTTCATAAAACTTCACAAGTATTAAAGAATCAAAAATAACTTAATTAAATGTAGGAAAAAAACTAATATTGAGCCAACTAAGATGATGATTGTTGATTTTTGTGTTGCTTTAAACTTCACAGGATACAAATCAAAAACACTTCGCAATGAGTCAATTGGTATAAACTTTTTTTTACTTAAAAATTTGCACATGTTTATATATTTAATACTATAGGTTTAAACACGGCTCCACTGTGGAACTTATTCACATGTTGATTAACTATAAAAATCTTTGATCTACCAGTAACTGTTTTGTTACGTATGATTTGATTTTACTCACGTTTAGTTCATTTGCTAAGTAGATTTAAAAAAAAAAAGACTTTATTTTCTTATACGAAACCGTGTTGACTTAGATAATAAGCACATGGGGAAATACCGAAATACTCTGAAGATTTTTCTAACCAGTGAAATTAAAATGTATCTTAGTTAAAATAACGCCGTATATACTATAATGGTCCAATAAGTTGCCCTGTTTGGGACACACAAAATGGGAAACTCATTTCACTTTCCCCTAACTTATTGCATTTGTAAGTCTATAATTATATATAATCAGACGACCGCTAAGGCAGTCGGACAATCCATTCCGGTAGATAAACCACCAAAAAGACCATAATTCAACATAGAAACCCTCTGCTTTGGCTTCGGAAACCTATCATCATTTGTCTCCGTCTCTAGAACCGGTGTCACAGATTTTTTCTCACAAGTCCCGAACCACTTGGCCTGCATGTACTTGTGTTTTCTCCAAGGACCCATGTGCATTTTCTTGTCTTTCATGCACTTTTTTGCCGCCGTGCACAATATTTTTATCAATGATTTTAGTCTCTCTGTTTTCCCGACGTACACCTCCGGTAATATTCCGATGAGTCGCTTGTACTCTTCACTGCCTCTCGCCATCTCAAACTCCGCTCTAAAAGACAGCTCAATCACCACCCGGATCTCGCCTTTCTTTGAACCAGATTTGTCCACGATTTCTAAATATTCATGCTCACCTAATGTTTTAAATAAGAAAACATCACGATTTAGTCCAACTATTATAATTTTAATGACAACTTGCTAGATACGCGAGAATAAGAAAAATGTTCAAAATATTTTAGAAAAACTAGATAATTCCGTTGACGTGGTTTTTCATTGAATAATGATGATAATGAAGATGGCTGAAAGTTTCAAAATAAGTCCATCTTCAAACGAAATCTTTTTGAAATTTGTGAATCTAAACTCTGAAAGTTTCAAAACAAGTCCATATTCAAACGAAATCATTTTTTAAAAAAAAAATATTAATCTAAAATATCACAAATCATCTACTTTTACTAGGAAACTAGAATATTGAGAATTTAAAGGTTTTGAGTAAAATGGGGCTTGACTTGTACCTGCAGGGATCTCATGATTGCTTCTCCACTTGGATTTAGAGATGACGCAATCATAGCCGGCGTCTCGGAGACGGCGAGATACTTCGCCGCACAAACAGCGACGGCAACCGCCAGTCACGGGTCTACGACAAACACATTGCAAACCCTTTGATCTCACTTCTTTCAACGCTTCCTTCGTTGCTTGTCTAATCTTTGTCTCAATTGAACTTGTCCTATAAAGTGTCGCCTACACATTTCAGATTTGGTCCAAAACAAAATTAATGAGACCCCACCAAAAAGAAAAAAAATGGAAGTCTTATCAATTATAAGTTTTGTTAATTAATATAAGAATTACCTGGAGAAGTTGTTCTTGTTCATGCCAAAACTTTTTATTCTCTTCAGAATTGGAACCGGCGGCGTAGTCGTCAGCATCAGATTCTTCCCCGGCGGCGAAGTTATTGGAGTCAGTGTAATCCTCCGGTGAATGATTTCCTTCGTCGAGAAAACCAAACAAAACATCGTCGGAGCTAGCCATGCCGTCTAGAAATTTCATGATGTCATCGGAATCTTGTCGATCCATTGCTTTAAAGATGAGAGAGAAGAGAGATGGAAAAATGTTTTTTTTCTTTCTCAATTCTTTTTTTTTTGGTTTTTGGGTTGCAGAAAAATAGGAATAAAGAAGCAGGATATATATAGTCAGATTTCGAAGCCAGTGTGGGACCCGGATAAATGTTAGGACCCACTTTAGAGATAGGACCCACCTGAGGGATGAGAGAAACACATACAAGGCGCCGCGAACAAGTGCTATGGTGGTCTGCTGAGTTTGGAAGTAGATGACGTGTCAATATTTGATTGGGAGTTGAGTCAGATCTGAAGGCTTAAGACAGCTAGTTCCTATGTCAGCATGGCCAATCACGAGAACTCCGCACTCCAGATTCGGATATACTCGATCCCAAAATATTAAAAGAACCGTTTCAATTATCAATTTGACAAAATAAAAAATTATTTTATTTTTGTTAAATTAAATTAGTACTAATTCCATTTTTAACAATTGGATTTCTCCAATGTACTATTTTCTTCACCGATTGAAGTAAGATTAGCTGGAAATAGATAAAGCGTGTTGAGTTAGGTTAGAGATAACTATAAGGATGTTTTTTTTTTCAATTGTATATCTCCTTGCAAAATGCATTAGCATCTAACAAACATGTTTTAGAAAATATACTATACAAATGTATATCCCAAAATTTCACATGAAATTCAAGAACGAACATGTTAAAAAAAAAAGGCGTTACCATTTTTATTTTTGATTATGAAGCGTTTCCATTTTTATATTTGACAATGATTACAAGGTGTCTTAAAAAAAATACAGAAAAGTAAATATTTTGTATGAGTGTATTTTGTATCCATCGTCCGTACAGTCCACAGTATTAGAAACTTTCTTCTGTAAAATTAAATGTATGTTTTATGCGCCCAAAAAAAAAGTTTATTGCAATGCGATTTAAAAAGGTACAATTATTTAATTATTGAAAAGCACTCGCTAGAATCGTCCTGATCTTGGGAGATAGGGACCCACGTGCCAAAAATCCAGACGGAGACAAAGACATCTACGTGGAGGATAGCCAAACACGTGTCTTTTGTCCTAAACGCCTTATCCCGACTACCTACATAGTTACATACTTACATGGGGCCTCCTTTATCCTGCCACCAAAATGAATAATTAGAGAAAATTAGTTCAAAGTTAGAACTTCTATTAGGAAATATGCCGGAAAAAATAAAGAATGAGGAAGTTTTATTCTCCTTAATTCAATTATATAAATCCGTTTAATTTTACGAAATTGTTTGACCAAAATAATTTTGTTTGAGCGTCCAAGTTATGCAAGTAGTGTATACCTCTGTCACTAAATTTGTAAAAAGAAAACGATATTGATTTTGATCTAACATACAGCATATTACCGAAACATTTTTTTCGCATCTACTAGACTACTACAACCTTATAATTTACTAAAAAAATACATGTATATATATATATATATATATATTTAACTTCTGGATATGTCGAATATGCGTGCTATAATAGTATCGTTATCAGATAACAAAATAATACGTAAATCGTATTATACAACAAATAGTATATGCTTAGTTTGGCCAGAAGGATTGACATGATGTGGGTAATTTATAAAGTTAAATCACATTTTCTATACATATTCAGATGTTCATGAAACTATAGACACAGTTTAATATATCACTCTAGCACTTCTGCAGTTCTAAGCAGATGTTTTCTCTCGATCGCTCACATGAAAATGTTGAACAGATCATATCATAAAACTGTGTTAGGTTTATTAGGATATTCCGCATATATTTCCAATAAGGCTTTTGGGAGGCTGGGAATATTCTTGAACAAGGGTCACGTGGTGGCAGCATGTGGACCAGGTCATTGAGATGATGTAAAACACTAAACAGTTAGAACATTTGTCGTTGTTAGTACTCTGACAGATAGAAAATGTGATATGTGCAAAAAACGCAATCATGAGCCATATTGTCGTTGCTTATTATGAATAATTCCGAAAATTTGACCATTTGTGATTAAATACTCCCTAAATATGTAAAACTTTTGATACCGGTGGTCATATACGTATTTTGATAACGAAATTAAAACTGAACTAGTTTCTGAAAGTCGGTTTACCGAATTATTTTACTACGCATATATATACGCATATATATATATATTTACATTTGATATCATGTATATTCGTATGATCCAATTTCTATTACATACAGATAAATCGATTTCAGACTAAAACGAGAATTGTTGAGATTGGAGTTGCTCAGTTTGAGTATGACTATACTCAACTAGTTAAATCATAAATTGTGATTTGTTAAGTATAATTTATACAGTATTTAGAGATCGAGTCTGGATCCCGAAAATCTATTATCTCACACTTGTACATTGTAACAACAAATATCCATTCTGAAACACGAATCAAGTCTGTAAGAAAGTAGTAACTAATAAATAACCTAGGCTAGCTGAATAAAGAAAATGGGATCAAACAAGAGTAATTTCGTTTAGCACTTGCCTTCTACAGAAGTTCAGATGTTGAAAGAATGTCGTCATTCATTCATTCTCAAGTCGATGGGCTCAGAACACTCAAGTATTTTTTTCGCCCATTGGTGAGTTCCTTTATTTTATTGAATTATTTTTTTCTATTGGAACCATTCAGAGATATTCATGGATACCTTATTTATTTGATTAAAAAGTTGATGTGTTCGAGACCTATATACATGTATTCGGATTAAGATACATATAGTATCACCATAATAGTGTTGTATTTCGTATATACATGTATTATTCCGCCAATGATATATTTTCCATGTTTTGTATATTATATACTTAAGCACTTTTCAAGTTCTCTCTCAGTATATATGTTTTTTTAACACTTATCACCCATTAATTTTTGCATCTTTTGCTGAGTCAGATACAATTTTCTCCGATGGATTTCGATATTGCCAAAATAGAAATTCCTTCTCATTTGTACTTATAAGTTAAAGCTAATCGCGTTTGAAAAAAGGTTGCTGCAACTTGCTTGTGTCAATATAATTTTCTTTCATACGCACATAATTTTATAAGGTTTAGTTGTTTAGATAACACGCCATTTTTTTAAAAAATTGCAAAAGTAAATACCTTCGTAAAAGACTTGGCAATTAAAAAAAACACTTAGCAATTACTCAAAATTCCTCAAATTTCCAGACGAAAAAAAGTTGAGCCTACGAATTTCTTCGAGAGGTGGTGAGTAAATGCGAAGTCTATATTGAGATATTTTTCCCCTAGACTCAAAGGTCTTATTAATTAAGAAGTTTGTACGTTCGCCTTACCATGACAAAGTACAATTTGTCCATTAGATCTCTATAACATTGATCAGCTTTTATTCATTATTTAGTCACCATCATCAGTTAGAGTATTCTAATTTTTCGAGGGATTGAGGCCTGGCTAGGAGTGAATCCCAAGAGGCAAAAGAAACAAGGTTAATGGAAATATACTTTAACATTATTTAACATCTATGGTTGATTTGAATAACATATAAAGATTTTGAAAAGGTTCGTTTCCGTTCTCGAATCATTTGATCGTTACACGGATATGCTACGAGCACTTGTTAAGAGACATTACAACTTCTTGTATTGATCAATTGTGTACTTGATAATTAAATTGAAACTAGATTTACATCCCGTGCGTCCGCACGGAAATTTTTTATTTTTCATTTACAATATAAATTGCATTTATTTTTTTGTTTAGATATAATTAGTTTTTGTTATTTATTTTTTTAAATCAAAAGATTGTTATCATGTTTTAATTTAAACAGTAAAAATTTGTATATTAGTAGAATAAGAGTATACGTTAATTAAGTATACATTGATATAATGTTAATTATAAACTTTGTATTATGTGAATTTAGATTTACACATAAAAAATCTATATATCTATGAATTTGCTAATCCGTCTGTTTAGTTGTCTTAAATCATTATTAATATCTTATATGTTTTGACAAACTAATCCGTATAAGACTATAATTATAAATGTATAACCCTATAAATATTTACTAATATTGAATATTTGGACCAATTGATTATGAAAAAATATAATAAGATATTTATTTACTATTTGTGCTATTACAAAAATGTATTTATATATATATATATATATATATATATATATATAAACTGGCTAATCTGTTAATTTAATTGTTTCAAATCATCTTAGTATCTTATATGTTTTAGTAAATTAACTCATAGACCTTAATTATATATATATATATAACTCTAATCAGTTCGATCATATTATTATATAATATAAATATTTATTAATCTAAAATATTTGATATTTTAGACCGATTGATTATGATAAAATACGATAAAATTTTTATTTACTATGTATTTTAATAAAAATATTATTTAAATTTAAAATTTTAATTTAAATTTAACCTGTATTTAAGGAATTATAAATTATTAAAATTATTATCTAAATTTTCGTTATAAAATTTAATTATAATTTTTTGAATTTAAATTAATTTGAATGCAGATTTTTGTAACTAAATTTAATCATAAATTTCCAATAATTTATAATTTAAATTAAAGATGACCTAGATTGTAGGAAACTTAAAAATATCAAAATTAATAACTAATTTTCGGAAATTAAATATAAATATAAAATAAAATATCATAAAAAAACTTTAGGAGTGTTTGGAAGCAAGCACTAATTGTGCTTCTGTTTTAATATAATAGATGTTAATTGGTTAAAAATAATACTAATGATTAATTAAGTCTAATATCAGCAGAAAAGAATCCCCTATATATTAATTGAGAAAGATTGTTTTCAAAAAAATTTAATTTTACATATGATTTATAATTTTATCATGCTGACATGTCATTTCCATAGAGTTTTGGAAAACATTTATGAAAATTAGATGAATACCTGCGTGTACACGTAGGTGTTTTATTTATTTTAATATACCTTATAAAATTACATTTTATTCTACAAAATAAACATATTTTTTATTTTTGATAATATAAATATTATCTAAATTTGTAAATATATTATCATTAAATGTGATTTTTTTTGTTTTAATATAATTTATTAATAGATATTTTTCTATAAGT